TGAATTAGTCTACCATCTGGCAGTCCGATGGACGAATATGGGTTTGGCGGATGCCAGGAGAATGCTACCTGCCAACAGCATAGTGCCAACTGTGTAGTTTGGAGGAGGAATAATGGTCTGGGGGTGTTTTTCATGGTTCGGGCTAGGCCCCTTAGTTCCAGTGAAGGTAAATCTTAAAGCTACAGCATACAATGACTTTCTAGACAATTCTGTGCTTCCAACTTTGTGGCAACAGTTTGGGGAAGGCCCTTTCCTGTTTCAGCATGACAATTCCGCTGTGCACAAAGCGAGGTCCATACAGAAATGGTTTGACGAGATCGGTGTGGGAGAACTTGACTGGCCTGCAGAGAGCCCTGATCACAACCCCATTGAACACCTTTGGGATGAATTGGAACGCTGACTGCGAGCCAGTCCTAATTGCCCAACATCAGTACCCGACCTCACTAATGCTCTTGTGGCTGAATGGAAGCAAGTCCTCGCAGCGACGTTCCAATATCTAGTTGAAAGCCTTCCCAGAAGAGTGGAGGCTGTTATAGATGCAAAGGGGGGGACCTACTCCATATGAATGCCCATGAGTTTGGAATGAGATGTTCGATGAGCAGGTGTCCACATACTTTTGGTAATGTAGTGTGTAAATGTTTGTATAAAATGTCCGTATTTTATAAACTATACAAACGACAAGACCATACAAACATGAACTACATCACACCTGCCCAGAACCATTAGCGCACAACCCCATCTCCAGCGCCTGCATCACTTTCCACCACATGGCCTGAAACTGCTCCATTTTGTTTCGCTCTGTAGCCCACGCACTTTCAATATTTTAAATAAGTCATTAGATTTTTCTGTTGTGTTAATGATGTCGGATTGTTATCGAGTTTTTAGTATACATTTTTTTTCAAGATGAGTGATGAGTAGAGAATCGTCCAACCCATCAGGTATCTCACTACACCCCCAAATGCCATGTCTTGAAATATGCAGACAGACAGATTAAAAGTAAATTTATTAAAGCATGATTTTCCATTGCACACTTTTTGTTGTCCAGGACTAGGCTTAATCTGGTTCTGGGAAACCAGCCCGAGAGTATTACTAAAATTACACTAGTGAAGAAATTCATGAGAAGTGGAGATGTTCTCAAATCTCCATTTTAAGTTTTATGCCCCCTCTTTCACCCTCCATCTGTGTCTTGCTGTAGCCTGCTAGGACATTGGCTGCATCTCTTGCACACACTTCATTTACCCAGCTATGCAATGATTTTACTGGCGTTCCTTTGGACGCTCCAGCGAGGCTGTGGTGTTCCCTGAGTGGAGGGGACCCCCCCTGGTGGTAGGTTTGGAGTCATACACCTTGAGTCCCTCTTGTACTCCTGCCTTACCCATTATCTGTACAAGACTAAAGCTCTTGATAAAGACTAACTATAGCGAGTTATGTGGTATGCAGTGTCATCCAATAGATATGAAATTCAAGTGAACTACGCATATATAAATAACATTAGATTTATATCCAAAATGTGATGTTTTTGTATTGAAAAATGAATAGTTGAGGCTTTAGAAATGACCTCAATATTCTGTAGCATAAATATACTTATCATAGAGCTCAGCGATCACCTTTTTAATAGGAGACATGTAAAGCAGTTATTTCTAGACTCAACCTATCGCAATCTTGTAGAAATTCTCCCTTTACTCTCTTGCTCTCGCCCTCCCCCCTCTCTCTCTTCATTAGCCCACAGAGCAGCACATCTTACATAAGGATGCCAGTGTCTGTTGCAGTTGCTATACATCATTGCGTGTGTGGGTAGGGGGGGGGCAGTACAGAAGCTTCTAATTCCTTTCTAGGGGAGTGGATCAAACCAAGGAGTAGGATTCTAGGGGGGTGTTTTTGCCTCTGTAAATCTATTAATAGAATGGATGACTGTAGTGTTGGAGACTTTGAAAGGTTATTCCAAGGATGTAGCTCTTGAAAAGGTTTTTTGAAATTTGATTCAACATTAGGGAGACTAGGTTCTCTGCTGTGTATTTCATCCGTTGATGGGCAGCGACTTCCACAGGGCATTTGACATGCACCTTGGCACACAACCTCTCTTCTAACTCTTCTCACCCCCCCCCCCCCCCCCTCCTTGATGACATTAGTTTATTCAGCAAATGGTACTGTTACATAATCTAAGGGATGGGTGTAGCCATTCAGGAGTTACAGCATAGGGGTGACATGGAAGACTGATCAGTTCTTACGCAACTTAAAGGACCCTTTTTTATTTGGTTGCGACTATGTGATGGCAACAGCATAAGGATGCGCGGAAATGCATCTTTTTAAAAGGGGAAACTTGTTTTAAAGGTGAAATGCAAAGGTTTTTTTCTGCTTTTGAAGAAAGTTATCAGTTGGTGTATATGTCATGAATAGGTGCAGTGTTTCATTCATTGTAAGGAACATGCACATATGTGAATGGAATGTGTGCCTGTTACTGAGGAAGGGTCAGCAGCTCAAGCTATGCTTGTGAATGTGCTTCCCCCTAGTGTTGTGAATGGTGTGCGTGAAGCCGGGGGGTTTGAAAGAAAGTGGGGGTGGACGGTTGGCGAGCGCAGCGTTGCCTTTCATGTGACGAACACGCGCTGTGACACGTGCTGCAGCTGGGGCTGCTGGGTAGAGAAAGCTGTAGCTCCTTATTTCAAGCCCCCACCACTCCTTCCCTAGCCACCCTATCTCCATCCTCCATCTCCTCTTATTCTATCTTTTCCTATCAATTTCTCATTCATTTCTTACCCTTTCTTTCCATCTGTTTGTTTCCCCTCTGCGAGCCCCCCCTCTATTTCTCGCTCCACTGTCACGACTCGTGTTTCTTTATTTGTTAGAAAAGGAAGTTCCATATGTTTCCTTTTTAAATAGCCCACGTTTGCACTTTGTCAACAAAAAAAACCCCGGATATTCCAGTCAACTTGTTCCGTTTAGTCAGTCCATGTATGAATGAGTGGGTCAAACCTGCTCTCTTTTCGGTTTCCTTTTTGTCCGTTTATTCCACCTTTGTTAGGAACGGAGGGTGTTAGTGCTTAGGCACACGGGTATGAAGTACATTTCCACCAAGTTAGGAGAGCCCACCTTAGCAGTATAGTTGTTGTAATGGGGTGAAATTAATACTATTCACTGTGTAGGACTGCACATAAGTGTCTTGTTGTTGATTTGATAGCCCAACATGCACAGAACCAGATTCCATCAGTGCAGTTGCATTGTCAAGTCAGTACATGCACATCACAATGTGGTGACACCTGTTATGTATTGCACCATAAATCAACTTCTTTATTGCTTATGATCTGTTTCAGTTGAGTTTTGGGGTATTGGAATAGTTACCTCCTAGGCAATAACTCTGAACCCTAACCCAATTCTCCTCTTGCACACACTTCCTATGGTGTCTTGGTTGTCTGAGAACATTGTGGATATGTTTGGCAGAATGTAGTCAGTGAAGGATTAAATGCATGCATTGACATTGTGCAATGCTCTACAGTTGAGTTTGGGGTATTGGTTACCTCCTCCTTGGCAAAAGCTCTTAACTGTAGAGCTTTGCACACTGTCGACGAGGCATGTCTCAAAAGTCTCCACAATGTTCGATAACCAAGACCTTATTGGAAGAGTACGTAAGATGGGAGTTGGGTTAGGGTTCAACTGAAGCCCATGGGTATGTCCCAAACGGCTCCCTATTTAGTGCACTACATAGGCTGGGTCCCAAATGGCGCTTTGGTCTCGGGCTCTGGTCTCAGTATCATAATGCTGTCCTACTGGGTTTTCCTGCTCTGTCTCCTGTCGAGGTGTCTGCAATCTCTCTAGAGCACTTTGGTTCCCCTCTGCAGAGAAACATGCTGGCTCCAGACTTTATAAAGTGCTATTTTGTCTTGCAGATAAGGTTAGGTAACAACATTAATGTAGTGATCGATAACATACTTTTAATCTGAATCTAGACCTCATAACTACAATATCAAATCTACTCTGTCATGCAACATTACAATAATTTAGACTTTGTTATGCAACATGCCACCATTTGCAATTGAAAAGTTCTACGGTTATGCTACTGCAATGGTAACAATAATTGTATGATTGGCAGGTGCCACAGGAGGTAAAGTGACATTGCAGTGTTGCAATGGACAACAACTGTTGCAGATAGAAATTGAATGACCACATGGCTTTCATTTTAGAATGGTGTAGGGATTCATAGTTACACTGTTCTAAAGGAAAGCCTTTTCTGGTCATCAAATTTCTATCTGCAACAGTTTATTGTCCATTGAAATAAATTCCTTCCATTTCTTTATTTGATACTTTTTTAAATAAGTTATAATCCCCCATAGAGAGAAGTTGCGATATGAAGGAAAAGAACAAGCCTGTGACTGTGGGAGGCTATTTTTGCACACTGTACCCAAATATAGATGCTATATTCGGTCCTGGGCGACTCTGAAGTAGACTTTTCTTTTTTTTTTATTTTTTTTCGGCTCCAATCAAGCAGTAGTTGTCGACTGTTTGTTTGCCCATGTGACTTCCTGCTATTTAAAGCAACGTGTTTAAGAGGTGGGTGGAGGATGGTGGACGTGCACGTTGGATCTTCTACTGCAGCCCGCCTCCCCACCACACAACTTTCTCTGGCAGGGGAGGGCTGGCTCGTTGATAGGAGGAAGAGGGGACAGATTACGTAACGGCTCCTGAGGAAAGGAGAAGGGGCCACACGAGGACCGCATCCTCTCCACAAAGACTGTTATTGGGCCTTTAGTGAGGGACGGGGATCCACTTTTAGTTACGCACACATTTAGATTTGCACAGTTTTTTTTTCGGGAGCTACAGCGCTGTGTTCTATACAGCCGTGCATTGTGCAGCAATAGGATGCTAAAATAAGGATCATTGCACTGCTCTAATGTCGTTATGTATATTTTTCTTTTGGGATACATTGCGGAGTGTAGACCCCGTTTTTAGCCATAGCAGGTGTTTTCCCCTTTTCCAGTGTCCATTCCTTTCTTGTTGGTATTCAGGTATTGCGGCAGGCAGGCGAGATCCAGACGAGGCTGCGCTCGGTTCCTCGCTGCTATTTTTACCTCGCGCTGCTTTCTTTAGCCCTCAATATGAATATTGAGCAGACGGCAGGCAGGGACAGCTCCACTGTGCGTCGGAGGGGGGAACTTCAATATGCAGCAGTTAGCTCGGCTACGTGACGTTGAGCACTGAGTGCAACTGGCTCCACCCACCAGGGCATAATTTAAACAAATGTTCCATATGCACAAAAAGCTTATTTCTCTCATTCTGTGCACAAATGTATTTATATCCCTGTTAGTTATCATTTGTCCTTTGCCAAGATAATCCATCCAGCTGATGTGTGGCGTATCAAGAATGTGATTTAAACAGCATGATCATTACACTGGTGCACCTTGTGCTGGGACAATGAAAGGCTACTCTAAAATGTGAATTTTTTGTCACACAACACAATGACAGACGTCTCAAGTGTTGCGGGTGCGTGCAATTGGTCTGCTGACTGCAGCAATGTCCACCAGAGCTGTTGCCAGAGAATTGAATATTAATTGTTCTACCATAAGCTGCCTCGAACGTCGTTAAAAAAAAAAAAGAATTTGGCAGTATGTCCAACCGGCCTCTCAAACGCAGACCACGTGTAACCGCGCCAGCCAAGGACCTCTACATCTGGCGGCTTCACCTGTGGGATCGTCGGAGGGAGGAGTATTTCTGTCTGTAATAAATCCCTTTTGTGGGGGGAGAACTCATTCTGTTTGGCTGGGCCTGGCTCCCCAGTTGGTGGGCCTATGCCCACCCATGGCTGCACCCCTGCCCAGTCATGTGAAATCCATATAGGGCCTAATGAATTTATTTCAATTGACTGATTTTCCTTTTATATGAACTCAGTAAACTCTTTGAAATTGTTATTTTTTTTCAGTATACATTCCAATTCTACAGTAAAAAGGTGTCCATGGACACACAGTAACCGCACCTCCCCTCTTCCCCCACACCTTTCTTAGCGTGCGTATCCTCTCAGTTGAGGAGCGCCAGTCGCTGTGGTATCACTTGTGTGCCTGCTTGCGTAGCCCCTTTCTGTGTGGAGCGTCACCGACCGTAATGCTCGACTCGCGTGAGGGGAATTTTAAAATCGTGGTGTGTGACTGAAGTTTAACAATGGGAAGTTTGGACACAATGTTCCTTTCTGAGTCCATGGGTGGATATGTTGACTGAATGGGTGATGTGCGATTTATTACACTATTATATGTATGTGTGTGTGTGTGTGTATGTGTATATATATATATATGATCTTACCAACATATTTTTTTGTTGCATTTCGGAGGAATTACATTTTGGTTAGAATGAGTAAATGTAAGTCTTAACATTGGTTGTTCTCAAAGTATTCAGACCCCTTCCCTTTTTCTACATTTTGTCACGTTACAGCCTTATTCTAAAATGGATTCCATAAAAAATCTCATCAATCTACACACAATACCCATAATAATGAAGCGATTTTAGAATTTTTTGCTAATTTATTACAAATGAACTAACATTATTTACATAAGTATTCAGACCCTTTGCTAGGAGACCCTTTGAAATTGAGCTCAGGTGCATCCTTGTTTTCATTGATCATCCTTGAGATGTATCTACAACTTGATTGCACTCCACATGTGGTAAATTCAATTAATTGGACATGATTTGGAAAGGCACGCACCTGTCTATATAAGGTCCCACAGTTGACAGAGCAAAAACCAAGCCATGAGGTCGACGGAATTGTCTGTAGAGCTCCGAGACAGGATTGTGTCGAGGCACAGATCTAGGGAAGGGTACCAAGACATTTCTGCAGCATTTAAGGTCCCCCAAGAACACCGTGGCCTCCATCATTCTTAAATGGAAGAAGTTTGGAATCACCAAGACTCTTCCTAGAGCTGGCCGCCTGGCCAAACTGAGCAATCGGGGGAGAAGGGCCTTGGTCGGGGAGGTGACAAAGAACCCGATGGTCACTCTGACAGAGCTCAAAAGTTCCTCTGTGGAGATGGGAGAACCTTACAGAAGGACAACCATCTCTGCAGCACTCCACCAATCAGGCCTTTATGGTAGTGGCCAGACGGAAGCCACTCCTCAGTAAAAGGCACATGACAGCCCGCTTGGAGTTTGCTAAAAAAGCAGCAAGAGCCCGGACTTGAACATCTCTGGAGAGACCTGAAAATAGTTGTGCAGCGACACTCTCCATCCAACCTGACAGAGCTTGAGAGGATCTGCAGAAAACAATGACAGAAACTCTCCAAATACAGGTGTGCCAAGCTTCTAGCATCATACACAAGAAGACTCGAGGCTGTAATCGCTGCCAAAGGTGCTTCAACAAAGTACTGAGTAAAGGGTCTGAATGCTTATGTAAATGTGATATTTCAGTTTTTTATTTTAATTTTATAAATGTGCTAATTTATACAATGTTTTTGCTTTGTTATTATGGGGTATTGTGTGTAGCTTGAGGGAAAATGTAATCCATTTTAGAAGAAGGCTGTAACGTAACAATGTGGAATAAGTCAAGGGGTTTGAATACTTTCCGACTGCACTGTAGGTGTAGAGCACAACGCAATGGGGGTGACGGGATAGGAAGTCAAGTCTGGAGGCATCTGATGATGCCTCCTATTCCCTATATAGTACACTACTTTTGAGTCCTATTGGGCCCTGGTCAAAAGTAGTGCACTTTATAGGGAATAATAGTGTGCAATTTTGGACGTTCTATCATACCTCACATTAACATGCCACCTATACAGTGAGGGTGAATTAGGATATCCACTTGCAACAAATTATTTGTCCTTCCCTCCTTGACAACATTAGTTTATTGAGGGAATGGTACTTTTATATACTGTAAGGGAGCGGTGTAGCCATTCAGGAGTTACAGGAGGGAGGGGCTAAGTGGGTACATAGTCAGTTTTGCAGATCAGAATGTCCTACATTTAATCTACAAGGAAATGATCTTGAGCAAATCTTTTTTTTGGTGGGGGGGAATCAGGGTTCAAAAATTCCTATTGCCCCTTCATCTCCTCTCTCCTATTCATCTTTCCCGTAGGCAGATGGCGTGATATGCGAACATGACACTTCCTTCTCTCTCCCACTCACCCTTTCTACCTTATCTTGTGAATACCCCCCTCCCATCCCTCAGTCTCCCCTCTTTTTTATTCCGACGTGAATACAGTATCCAGTGGCCATGAAAACACACAGTGGTGAAAGTGTGTAAGCAGTAATGCTCTGAGTACATACACACACGACTCATCCCCTGACAGGTGTGTGCGTGCACAAATCCATACACCCTACAGTTCCCGTGAGATTCCGTAGGCATATTTAAACTTTTTTAGTGCGAGTTGCAAACCCTTGACGTTCCACATGTTAATAGCTCTGTGGAATGTGGTCGGTGCTGATTCAGAACCTCTCCTACCGCCCTTACACCCATTCCGTTCTTTTGGTTTCAGTCTTTCTCGTTTTGTCGGTTCAGCCAACCAATCCATGGGACAATACGGTTGGTGTTCCCTCAAAGAGAATGTGTTGCTGAGTAGGGTTAAGTCTCGGGTGAAGAAGGGTGGGTGGGGAGGGAGTTCAAGGAGTTCTTGAGTGCAAGAACTTCCAGTCCTGATGAAACACTGCCCCTGTCATATAATGAACCTATGCGGTTGCGTTCACAAAACGGTTTGCGGCCATTTGAACATAAACCATAGAACCGTGAAACAGGTTTCCCACAAGAATTTCCCTGTATTTAGCGCCATCCATCATTCCTTCAATTCTGACCAGTTTCCCAGTCCCTGCTGATGGGGGGGGAAAAACATCCCCACAGCATGATGCTGCCACCATGCTTCACTGTGGGGATGGTGTTCTCGGGGTGATGAGAGGTGTTGGGTTTGCCCCAGACATAGCGTTTTCCTTGATGGCCAAAAAGCTTAATTTTTGTCTCATCTGACCAGTGTACCTTTGGGGAGTCTCCCACATGCCTTTTGGCGAACACCAAATGTGTTTGCTTATTTTGTTCTTTAAGCAATGGCTTTTTTCTGGCCACTTTTCCGTAAAGCCCAGCTCTGTGGAGTGTAAGGCTTCAAGTGGTCCTATGGACAGATACTCCAATCTCCGCTGTGGAGCTTTGCAGCTCCTTCAGGGTTATCTTTGGTCTCTTTGTTGCCTCTCTGATTAATGCCCTCCTTGCCTGGTCTGTGAGTTTTGGTGGGCGGCCCTCTTTTGGCAGGTTTGTTGTGGTGCCATATTCTTTCCATTTTTTAATTATGGAATTAATGGTGTTCTGTGGGATGTTCAAAGTTTCAGATTTTTTTTATAACCCAACCCTGATCTGTACTTCTCCACAACTTTGTCCCTGACCTGTTTGGAGAGCTCCTTGGTCTTCATGGTGCCGCTTGCTTGGTGGTGCCCCTTGCTTAGTGGTGGTGCAGACTCTGGGGCCTTTCAGAACAGGTGTGTGTGTGTGTATATACTGAGATCATGTGACACTTAGATTGCACACAGGTGGGCTTTTTAACTAATTATGTGACTTCTGAATGTAATTGGTTGCACCAGATCTTATTTAGGGCCTTCATAGCAAAGCGGGTGAACACATGCACGCACCACTTTTCCGTTATTTATTTTTTAGAATTTTTTGAAACAAGTAATTTTTCACTTCACCAATTTGGACTATTTTGTGTATGTCCATTACATGAAATCCAAATAAAAATCCATGTAAATTACAGGTTGTAATGCAACAAAATGGGGAAAAAAGCCAAGGGGGATGAATACTTTTGCAAGGCACTGTATCTCACGATCATCTGCTTGGCTCACTATCCTGCATACAGCTCCCATCTATAGTAGCTCACAATATGGCATTTCTACTTGAGGGATGCGTTGGTATACTGTAGTCTTTAGTCTGTCTATACTCAATGTGTGTAGCCCATTGTGCAGGGGAGTGTACCATCTCCTTCTCTATAGTCTCGACCTGATTCTGCAGATAGCCTTGTGCGACGCAGTCATTTGCCCATTGAGGCTTTTCTGCCAAGGAACGTTTCATTCTTAAGATATGGGGGGGAAATAACCAGAATCCGCTTCTCTCTTCATTTTTGACTGCGTTCTCGCTCTCACCCCTTCTCCCTCCTTACACTCATTATTGTCCTCTCTCCGTTTCTATTTTTAGCTACCCCTAGGATCCCTCTCTCCCTCCCTCCACTCATTCTCGTGCTCCTTGTTCGTCATCACTCCTCCCCTCCCTCCTTGTTCCCCCCTCTCCAGCTTGGTGCTAGAGAATGGCTACTGCCTGTATGAATCTTTCATCAGCCATGGATTGGTTCCTCTGTGCTGTTCATAGTGCACAATGGTTCGTGCTGGGGGAATAGTAAGCATTGGTGCCCACTTAGCTTCCCACCCTAAAAATCCTGCATTAGGTGGATTGGGGGGTGGCTTTGGGTAGTGTTAGCAAGAGGTGTGACTGTTGATCAGTCAGGCATGGAATAGGGGTGAAGCTGGCTAAAAATAGATGTGTTTTGTCTTGACAAAGCGAGGAGAGCCGAGAATGCCACAAGAACATCCGTCCGGACTCCTTGTACCTCTAGCTATCCTATTTTCCCTCCAATGTCTTTAGTTCCATGCAAAGTGGTTGCAAGAGATGATCTCTTCAGCCAACTGTAAAGAGCATTGTCAAGAGGCCTTGTTTAAAATGTAGTTTTAGCTTTAATGCTAACATTTAGACCAAAAAATAAAATCATCAGTACCACACGTGAGTTAATCCACATGAAAATGGACGAACAAGATTGTTGGGTGTGTCTCCTTAACTGATTTGCGTTTGTCACTGATTTTTCTTTTGACGCGTTTGCTATCCAGTCACCCGTGAAGGATGCAGTACTGTCAACTCTGTTGCTGTACTGAGCTGTTTGAATAACCCAAAGAAGCAGTCTGACCAGAAATGAAGGCGTGTCATGATTTCGGCTAAGACAGGAATTTTCTCTGCAATTAGTTTTTTTCTTTGAAAGCCTTGACAGGAATTGCATGAGGACACTTGTGTTACTGTATATGTTGGAGCCCCAATATTGTATATTCCCCACTATATGTTAGCAGTCAACACTGTTTCAGGTGTGGTGTATAGTGACTTGGAGCCAGGCTGCAAAATGTAAACAGAACCTATTCATAGAGCCCTAAAGTGGTGATAAGCCCAGTCATTCTGGACGGAAGCTAACTACTGTTTAGTCTAAATTCCACTATAGAGCCTGGAAATACGATGACATTGCTAAAGTAGTCATATTTAGTAGGAAACAACTTTGCCAGCATTATCATGTCAAATTTACTTTAGACAGATGGCAATGTTGTCTTTAGCTAGCAAAGTTAGTCAGAAATAGCTAGCAATGCTAACGTTAGCTAGCTAAATTCCAGTGGCCTCCCCTCAATCTTAGCTAGCTAACGTTATACGGCATCTAAAGTCAATCTGGTGACATCAATGACAAAAGGTTTTCCTACAAATAATTTTCCTCCTTTTGAATGTCATTGTATTGCCAAGCCACACTAATGCACTTTTGATAATCTTCATCAGCGCTTATTGACGATGCATTGAGTAGAACGCTCAGTCAGACATCAGTCCAAAACAAACGTTTAAAACAATATTGTGACGAAACATGCAACCATGAGTACTGACTTTTTTTTTTTTTTTTTTCTCTCCAGTTGTGACGGGAGCCACAGACGGCATCGGTAAAGTCTATGCGGAGGAGGTGAGTTTCCTGCATGACCCCTCATTTATTTCATTTCCTCCATGGGAAAAGCTCCATGACGCACAGGCCATGGTAGGGAGGGAGGGCTCTTCCAGGCCTATTATTGTGGAAAAGGGCCCTTGCACGCACACTTGTTTTTCTATCCTTGTGGGGACCTAAAATTAATTTCCATTCCAAATCCTATTTTCCCCTTACGCCTAACCCTAATTGTAACCCTAACCCCTAAGCTTAAAATAGCCATTGTCCTTGTGGGAAATGTCCCCACGCGGGATCATTTTCCTTGTTTTACTATCCTTGTGGGGACGTTGGGGGATTTCAGGTCCCCGCAAGGATAGAAGGACAGGACCACACGAGCGTGGTGGTTACAAGGCTACCACTCAGCTCCATGTTGAGTTGGAGCACCCTTGTCAATGGGCCATGCATGTGTTTAGAGGAGTAGTGAAGGCTTAGTCAAGACAGTTGGCCCAGGCAACAGTGAAACTAGATTCCTATTGAACCATTTTAAGTCTCCATTTTAAGAACAGTAGAGTTCCCTGGTTCAATACAGTTTTCAGTGATTGTGGTTTACCGGTGTTCTAGTGTACTCATCCATCTTTCTCTTTCAGCTCGCTCGTAAAGGGTTCGCCATGATGCTCATCAGTCGCTCCCAGGACAAGCTGGATGATGTCGCCAGGCAGCTTGGTAAGTGTGTGTGTACCCCTTTCTGACTGTCTGTCGGACATTCTAATGGGTGGAGTATAGTGTGTGTGCCTCGTCAACCAAGTCTCTACGTCTGCTGATGTACAAGATATGGCCACTGTAAAAAGATTCCCCAGCCCTCGCTAAAGGCTAGCCTGTGTACGTCATTACAGAACATTGGCATACACAAACCTCGGCGAAAGCCTGGAAGCCTTTCAGATGGAAAGCTGTAGGGTGTTGGAAGAGGAGGATGTCCGTATGGGCAGGCCTGCCTTGACGCATGTCCGTTTGTCCCCTTTCCCTTATAGCCCTTAGGTTCCTTTTTGGGGTGTGGAATTGGGTGTATATATTGGTTGATTTTGAAGATTCTCAGTGCTGTGCAATTGTTTTTCAGGTGCCGAATAAAACAAATCGAATGCAGAAAAGATACCAGCACACTGACAAAAGGGGAGATGTTTTATTTTAAATGAGCATGACCAAAATCGTATGTTTGGTTGCATAAGTCAGTGGTCATGTTTCCTCACTGCGTTTTAATGGATGGTCCTTTATTTTGGAAAATTACACCCTATTCTTATACATTCTGGCCTTCCGATGATGCCACTGTAAAAGCGACTGGATTCTGTTCTCCTAAGCCGTCACCTTGGGTGCAATTTCCCCTGTCGTGCCGACGGTTCACAGAGGGGGGTGATGGGTAGTCACGAGCAGGGCTCAATGTTCCAAACCCCTGGCAACCCAAACCTACCTAATCTGGTAGCCCGACTCCCCATACCAACCCTGTGACCAACTCCAACTCTTTCCCCCTCAGTCTTGGACCCTTTATTAATTTTAAAAAATTCTCAATGGCACCAGCTAAATATAGCTTCATGAATATAGTGTGTCGGTTCATGGGGATATTCCAGCCCACAAGACTTCTCTCTCTCCTCTTGTGAAAATGTCACCCCTATCCAGCAGTGGTCACTCCTGCCTGCGTATCCCTCTCTGTGACTGGCGCATCCTGGGAATTTTCCTCTCGGAATTTACCGGCTTGCCCATCAGACAAACAAGTCTTATACATGCTAATTGCAGCAGGCATGTCAAGGGAAGGAGAGGGACAGGAGTTTTCAGGGTTATTTGTTGGTACACAGCACCCTCTCCTGTTTGAGAAGAGGAAAGTTGTGTATTTTCAATGGCAGCTTTGGTGTTCGATGGGGCAACCGCTGAGTGTGTGTGATTAACCCAACTCTATTTTCCTCCTGTCCACAGAGGACCAGTACAAGGTGGAGACCAGGACCATCGCTGTGGACTTTGGCCTGTCGGACATCTACCCTAAGATCGAGGCTGGACTGGCTGGACTGGATATCGGAGTGCTGGGTAGGTGTTCCTTTGGTCTCGCCTTCCTCACCGTTTGGCTCTGTATACCACATGTCTGCACACTACATTATCCTGTCTCTCTACACTGAGTGTACAAAACTTTAGGAACACCTTCCTAATATTGAGTTGCACCCCTTTTTGCCCTCAGAACAGCCTCAATTCGTCAGCGTTCCACAGAGATGCTGGCCCATGTTGACACCAATGCTTGCCACAGTTGTGTCAAGTTGGCTGGATGTCCTTTGGTTGGTGAACCATTCTTGATACACGGGAAACTGTTGAGTGTGAAAAACCCAGCAGCGTTGCAGTTCTTGACACACTCAAACCGGTGCGCCTGGCACCTACTACCATACCCCGTTAAATATTTTGTCTTGCCCATTCACCCTCTGAATGGCACACATACACAATCCATGTCTCAATTGTCTCGAGGCTTAAAAATCCTTCTTTAACCGGTCTTCTCTCCTTCATCTACACTGATTTTTGAAGTGGATTTAACAAGTCACATCAATAAGGGATCATAGCATTCACCTGGTCAGTCTGTCATGGAAAGAGCAGGTGTTCCTAATGTTTTGTACACTGTCCCCACAAACCACATACTGTCATCGGTCTCATAATCAACACTGATAAACGACGCTTGCGTGCATGCACACTTTTGCCGTTGGGCTTTTATTTGACGACAGTCGTGCAGAGGTGTGTGTGATTCTGTCATTGTTTTTACATTTCTATATTCCCAGCACCAGAACAGACTGACAATGTTGTGTGGCATGCATGTTAGCGTTTTGCTTACTGTCTGTCAGTCTTGAGTTCTAACCCTGGAGTTACCTGGGCAACACTAGGCTAAAGCAATACAAGTGGTAAGCTTTTGAGGCAGTGGTGTCATTTATAATTAGACTCCTACTAGTGTTTTTATTTTTTTATTCAAAAGTACCTCAGGAGTTTTATTAGTATGTGTTAGTACAGAAAGATGTCTGTCCACATTCTTGGGGTGTGACAATGTCACATTCAGGTAATACATTGTTCTTTGTGAGAGAGCCCATAAGTTCATGTGCTGCTTGGCTTGCTCTTCCAGTTTAAGGTGCGGTTGTATGGTTCTTTTCTAAAAACAACATGTTATGAACGCCTGGCTCTCATTTGGAAGGTCCTGCTGCCTCCTGGTGGTTCGGAAGTGTAAAGCCACCAGTTTTAATTTTATTATTTGCAGTAACAATGGTCTCATTGTCTTCTATTTTATTCAACAGTGAATAATGTGGGGATCTCCTATCCCTACCCTGAGTACTTCCTGCATATTCCTGACCTGGACAACGTGAGTTTTTCTTGAGTTAATTCTGTTGAGTGAAGCACAGGGTCACCATTGGTTACTTGAGACCTCTTCAAATTTTATTGGTCACATACACATGTTTTTCAGATGTTATTGCAGGTATAGCGAAATGCTTGTAAACCAATTGTGTCAATTAGGCTGCGTTTTACACAGGCAGCTGAATTCAGTAAAATGTATTTACGAATTGGTCTTTCGAACAATCAGCTTTTTTGCCAGTAATTGGGCAAAATATCAGAATGGGGCTGCCTGTTTAACATAGCCAAAGTTCCTATCTGTACTGTACTTTAGCAGTAGCTAACAGAAGGGACTCACTTGCCTTTGGAGTTAAGAGGGTAGAGTAGGTGTAAAAAGCTAATTGTTATTTTTCTTCATTCTAGTTCATCACCAACATGATCAACGTCAACATGACCTCTGTTTGCCAGGTAATAGTTATCTTGCTTCTGTAGCAGTTCTATGCGTGTATACATCTATACCATGGGGCAGCTCTATGCATGTATCTATACCATAGATATTCATCTAGTTTTTCAGTGCTTATTGTACAGATTGTGTGCACGTTGTCTGTCCGAGGCAAAGTAGTGGTTTAGTTGTGCAACATATTGACCATACACTGGCACAGATGGCATGTCGATGGGCGTCCGTGTTTCACACTTCCCCTTCTCCTCCACTGTTGCTGCCATGCAACCTGCAGTTTCCCAGCGGTTCCCAGAGCAACGGTGAACTACACCAACGCTGTCTGTGTTCACCACCCACGCACTACCATTTCTTCCCCCGCTTTCGCTCTCTTTCTCTCGCTCGCCCTTGCCTCCCACGCGGCTGAAATGTATCAATGTGCCATACATCTCCCATAATGCCACTGGGGTAAATCTGTAGCGGTAATGTAAACTTCCTCGCTGGTCCTGTATGACTTAATTCCCTTGGCATTCACAGTATTTTTTTTATAGATCACGTTATCGTCCATTGAAATGGCAATTTGTCTGGAAGTTGAATATTTGTATAAAATGTAACATGTAGTTGTGTCCCATATGGTCTCTTTTTCATATGTACGGTGTATGGCACAGCCAGTGTGATTCCTGACCATGCTGTTTTGTCAGGTAATTGACCTGTTGCTCAGGAGTTGACCTTTTCTCGTTCCCTGCTCCCTTTTCAGATGACTCGTCTAGTTCTGCCCAGAATGGTTCAGAGGTGAGTTTGTTCTCTTTGAGTGCTATTGCCACATTTATTAATTAACTTTTATTTGATGCTATTGATAGTCTGTTCAAGTTTGTCTCGGATGCAGTTCTTTTTAAATGGGTTTTACACGCTCATCCACATGACAATGCTGCGCTGTAAAACTACAGATGCTAAATCAAATCCTTTGTCAACCTGAGTTTTTTTTTTTTTTTTTACGCCCTCCCTCTAATACTATCCTGGTACCAGTCTGTTTAGCTATCATCCCACTGCTTGCGATTCCTTTTCATAAGGGAACAGGCTGGCACCCAGGCTATTCTAATGCTGGAACCTACATTAGAAAAGCCTAAATGTTCTCCATTAGAATGACCATGATATGAAGACATAGGTTTCATGTGTTTAGGACATGAGTTCAACAGTGTTATACAGAGGATGCCCTTCTACCCAGCTCCAACTCCCCTCCTCCTTTCTATCCCCTTTGTTCCCCATTTTGACCAGCTGCTTTTCAATTCACACGAAGTGCACCCTCTTCCGATTTGGCTCTGATGAATCACATGGGATCTCTGCACCAATGGAAAGGCGGGGCACATTTAGTGCCATGTGAGGGGCTATCCAACCCCGTTTTCACTGCAGCAACCGGGGTGCTAACTGCGTGAGCAAGCCGCTACCATGGCAACCCGCATAGCGACTGATGTAGTGTGTATGGCAGTGTACAGTGGCACTAGGCTGCTTGGACTCTTTTGTGACGGACAGGAGGCTCTTTTGGCACTCCGTGGCAGAAAGAAAAACTCGTAATTCACTTTGGTTTTTGTGTTTCAGGTCCAAAGGTGTGGTCCTCAACATTTCCTCTGCCAGTGGCATGTACCCCGTCCCTCTTCTGACTGTGTACTCCTCTTCCAAGGCAAGTGCCAATGGTAGACCTCCACACATACACACACACACACGGTTATACATTCTAAATATACACACTTTATATACATTGCATCAGTAACTCCACAACTGCTAGTAAATGTATGAATGCTTTTCTGTCCCCTACCATTGATCCTGTTTATCTTCACACTGATGATTTGGTGAACGGTTTCAACGACTTTAGACTCTGTGGCACCAGATATTACAGCACTTATGAAGGCATAAGGCCGACACGTATGCTCTGTTCCTTTATTTTTATATAGCACTTTCAATTTTGTATTCTTTCGAGCATGGATTAAATTAATAGTATTTTTGCATCTCGGCCTCCTTGGGTTATTCATTTTCATGGTTTTGAGTGCTAGTACTTTTTGAACTCCACAGATATTTTCTCTCCCACGCACCGGCTGCCTTTTCATTCTAGCCTGAGCGCAAACCCTCATACTGCCTTTCTAGGTACCAGATATACAGTACCAGTCAAAAGTTTGGACACCTACTCATTCAAGGGTTCTTTATTTTTACTATTTTCTACATTGTAGAGTAATAGTGAAGACAAACTATGAAATAACACGTGATCTTGTAGTAACCAAAAAAGTGTTAAACAAATTAAAATATATTTGAGATTCTTCAAAGTAGCCACGCTTTGCCAAACCAGATGTGATGGTGTATCGCTACAAAATGCTGTGGTAGCCATGCTGGTTAAGTGTGCCTTTTTGAATTCTAAATAAATCACTGACAGTGTCACCAGCAAAGCACCCCCACACCATAACACCACCTCCTCCATGCTTCATGGTAGGAACCACACATGCAGAGAGCGTCCGTTCACCTACTCTGCATCTCACAATGACACACAACGGTTGGAACCGGGAGTGTGCAAAGCTGTCAAGGCAAAGGGTGGCTATTTGAAGAATCTCAAATATAAAATATATTTTGATTTGTTTAAAACAATTTTTTGGTTACTACATGATTCCATATGTTATTTCATAGTTTTGATGTCTTCACTATTATTCTACAATGTAGAAAATAATAAAAATAAAGAACCACCCTGGAATGAGTAGGTGTGTCCAAACGTTTGACTGGTACTGTAACTAATAAAACAAATTGTCTGCCAGTGTCTCATCCTGGTTAAATGACCACACTCGTGCTTTAAAAAGTAACATAGAAATGCTGAACGTAAATGGAAGACCTGCGAACATCAACTATTCTATGAGATAATTAAGGATATGATGAAGTTACAATGTTGCTGTTAAAGATGCAAGAGCGAACTACTTCTCTACCCTGATCTCTGTACTTCCACAACTCAAATTCTGTGTAAGACAATTGAGCATTGTTGTTGGTTTATTGTATTATATCATGATGTGAAGCACTTTGTTACTTGTATTGAAAAGCACTATACAAAAAAGTTATTGGTGCCCATCACAGGAGGCTGCTGAGGGGAGGACGGCTCATAATAATGTTCAGAACGGAGCGAATGGCATGGCATCAAACACATGGAAACCATGTGTTTTGATGTATTTGATACCATTCCACTCCAGGCATCACCACGAGCCTGTCCTCCCCAATTAAGGTGCCACCAACCTCCTGTGGTGCCCATCCATCCTCCATACTCTACACATTTTCCATAGTACGATTTGTTACATATAGAAATGATGGCAAATGAGTATTATTAGCAAAGCTGTGTTTTTTGGTTATCCCATTCTTACAGCTGGAGTTCAGTAGGGGAAGTGGTAATAATGGTCAATATCTCTTCTCTCCTTTAGGCTTTTGTGGACTTCTTCTCCCGGGGACTTCAGGAGGAGTACAAGGCAAAGGGAATCATTGTCCAGGTGAGAACACTCATCCTGTTCACCTGGGCCACTTTCAGCAGGACACAATGTGGGCCAACGTTCAGATAGACTTGTATTATGTAGAACAAACATGCTTCTCTGGCATTTATCTGCAACGTTCCACAACGTCTGTGTACTGAACATGGTCCCGTTAGCTACTAGTGGCTTTCCGGTTCTTATGACCTCTGACAGTTCCACAAAGGTAGCTAGTATGGCTTCTTCTTGCGGACTGATCCTCAGCACAGTACCGCACCATACAGTCATGCCTCCCTTTTTATGGCTCACGCTACAAGGCTGTTCTTTGTTTAACTCCTTGTGACCTGTTGAAGTAACTCATCTTTAGCGTGGATACATTTGCTGTATATTATACATTGTTTCATTTTTAAGCTAACCTGTCTGTCCTCCAGAGCGTGCTGCCCTTCTTTGTGGCGACCAAGATGACCCGTATCAGGAAGCCCACACTGGACAAGCCCACCCCGGAGCGCTATGTGGCGGCTGAGCTGACAACCATCGGACTGCAGGACCAGACCAACGGCTACTTCCCCCACGCAGTCATGGTACGGACCCACCGCTCATCTCCCCTTTTTGGTTTTGTTTGAAACCGAAAAACTAATGTCTTGTTGGACAAATCCAGGGGTGTATTCACTAGGAACTAAATGGAAGCCAAACGACACAAACAAAACAACTGTGAGGGACTTATCTGAATTTGTCCAAGAAAAACTTGTTTACGTTGCAAAACGTTTTCGGTTTGGAGTAAAGTTTTTTTTTTTTGCAGAAAGTTTTGCAACTGTTTGCTATGGGCTTCGTCTCTAAGGGCGTTTTCACACAATTTTTAGCTATAGTTCGAATCAGAGCTAGACTATTTGTTACATTAGGTTTTTTTTTTTTTGGTCTGGCTGGTTTCACATTGCAAAATGTCAAACAAACAAAAATTCCTAAACAAAACCACATGTCCGTGCAAGTCATTTGTTTATTGGTCAAAAATTATCAAGTTAAATCCATTTACAGTATCACTTCAATCATACTGTGTCCCAAACTTCATATTATTTTCACTTTGGTCTTCCAACAACATGCAGGAGCAAACTGCGCAATAGCTGTTATAACTGCGACGTGAATGGGCTATATTCCGTAACCTACTGTATAGCCCTCGTCTCCCCTAACCTGCATCGGATGCACTCATAAATGCGCTGCTACTCACATAATGTTTCAGATCTCAAGTTATATGATGCTGCATGCATTTCATCAAATGCTTGCCGTCAAACAACCAATAATAATGGTGAACTCTGGTTATTTTCCTGTGTTTGATCCGGACTGTGTTCTCCCCTGCAGCGAACCGCACCACGGTACGAATTGAATCAGACCGAGCCAGAGACCACCCTTTTTGAGTGAACCACAGTGCGTTGTTTAGTGCGCTCCCAAGTGCCGATTAGCATTTATACCAGTCCAAACGAAGCTAACTAAGGGGTTAAATGCACCAGAGTTCTGGAAACTGAATCAAACCAATTTGGTGTGGAAGCCCCCCTAACTGAACACACCCAATGTACTCCCTCCCTTTTTCAGTTAGTTTTCCTCCATTTGGTGCAGAGCATTCCGTTTAAGAAATGTGATGTGTAGAACTGATATGATCAATCAGTTTCACATCACTGAATAGTGAATTTGTCCTCAATGTGTATATGTCCACACTGAGTGCCAACTAACCTCTGACCTTTGTCCTCTGTGTGTCCTCAGGGCTGGCTGACCACTGTCCTGGTGCCCATCAACCTGGTCATCTACTTTGGGGCAAGAATGAACCGAGCCCAGCGTACTGGCTACCTGAGGAGGAGAAAGCTGAGGGAGCTGGCCAACCAGAGCAACGGGAAGAGCGACGGGCTGAAGAGCGACTAAGAAGAGCCCCGTAGGAACGAATGGAGAATGGAAGCTGACCATAGAACTACCATACAACCACTCTGACTACCCCAGACTCTGTCCATTAGTTAGTGGTGTCGAATGATTCACGCGTGTGTTTTTGGAGGATCCTTTTTGTATGTTAAGGCTAACGGATTTCTTCCTTGGAGTCCATATTGACGTAGTATGATGCGTCTTTTGAATGAAGTGGTTCAGCGATAACGTCTCTAACCAAAATGGCAGCTCTAACAAAGTGTCTGGAACAAAAATAAATAAAGACTCTGCTCTCAGTAATTGCAGAGAAGTCTTTAAAGGCCAAGTGCAGTCAAATGTGATTTTCTTCCTGTGTTTTATATACATTTCCACACTGAGGTTGGAATAATACTGTGAAAATGATAATGCCCTTTTAGTGTAAGAGCTGTTTGAAAAGACCGCCTGAAACTACAGCCTGTTTTGGTGGGACGGAATTTTAGTTCTCTATGGTGATGTCACCATGCAGTAAATTAGTTAATAGACCAATAAGAAAGTTCCAAACCTTTCTGCCAATAACTGCAAAATCAGTCCCCTCACTCTTAGCAAAATCCTTGCTTGAGAAATTGCCCTTTGCTAAGAAGCTATTTTTGGTTATTTTTGACCATTTTAATTAAACAATCACAGTAATGTACTTAATTGTTACCCAAAAAATAAATGATATTGAGATAAAAACATCTGCATTGGACCTTTAACCAGGGTGATTTTCTTTTACTCTGCTGTTGTAAGCAGAGGAATGGTGGCGGGCCAAATCTTTTTTTTATATATATTTTTATACATGTACGTAAAAGCAAGCCACACGCAAATCTTCAGGTACTTTGCACAGTATGAAGTGCAGTTTACACACTGACTGTGCCTGAAAAGTTTACAAGCGATTCCCCCCCCAGCTTGTTCTCCTTGACTGTCTAGCTGAGTTATTGTCAATAATGAGTGTTGGCTTTTTGTGCATATTTACATTTTTGTGTATTTAAAAAAAAAAAAAGAAATGTGGTGGGATTTCTTGCACTGATGTATTTCTTAGCGTTTTTTCTGTTTTCAGTTGTCCAAGCTTTAAGGTTTTGAATACATTTTTTTTTATTCTATAAAATTCATTCTCATCCACATTCGTTCCAGTTCATGCTGGCATTGATCACGTCCAATGAGAAGGAGTCTTACACATTGAAGGCCTTATGTCGCTGTGAACGAACAAAATAGTTCCATTGAAAAGCTAATATACACACTTGCCTTACAGGCTCATACTGTATTGCCAAAGATTGTGTACTATATATAGTCATATATTGTACATGATGGCCTTTTGGGTTGGTGAGGAACTTCAACAACATGCACAACTGTTTTCTGTTTGTATGGGTGTTGGTCTATGTATGACTTGGATCTCTGTATGACTTGTTCTGACCAATGTCCAGACTTTAACCATGGTGCCTCATGAAGATTTCTCAGGTGTGAAACTGTACCAGTTTTATAATATCAGGGATTTTGGAATTGCAATGTAGTCTAACTCTTGCTGCTTTGCACCTGTACGATTAATCTGAACTTTCTATTATTTGACAATAAATTCTGGACAATAGTGTGCTCTGTATTTTATTTCCACTCAGACTTCATTTCTGGATATTAATGAACAAGAACTATGCTGTTTTAAAAGGGATCATAATATCAGCTGTTCCTTAATGGTAAGGTGTATCCCAAATAGCACCCTATTCCCTACATGGGATGTGCATGGTATTCATCATCTAACTAAATGCTTACTTGCAGGTTCCTTCTCGACAATGCAACAATAAGAAATAGTAAATTATACGAATGTGAAGTAAATGGCAGTGGAAAATAATAAACATTTTAGCATTAGTATAATACAATAAGGCACAATTTAAAGTACAATATTTACACTTATTGGGGGGATGTGGGGACAAGTGTAAATTGAGCAGTATAATGAGAGTCTGGTAGCAGCAGTGATGTTGTGTGGAGAGTCTCTGAGCCTGTTGGTATCTGACCTCATGCTCCGATAGTCTGCCCGATTGTAAGGGAGAGAACAGTTCGTGTGTGGGGTCTTTGACGCTCCATGCCTTCCTCAGCACCGTTTCGAGTAGATGTCCTGGATGAGTGGAAGTACGGTCCTGGTGACTTACTGGGCCGTCTTCACCACCCGCTGGGGGGCTTTGTGGTTGTGGACGGAGCAATCCCCGTACCAGGCCGTGATGCAATCGGTCAGGACACTCGATGGTGCAGCAGTAATATTTGGAGAGGACCCAGGGTCGCATGCCAGGGTGGTGTCCAGACCCAGGGCTCTGAGCTTGGTGACGACCTTGGAGGGAACAATAAATAGTGTTGAATGCTGAACTGTAGTCAGTGAACAGCATTCTCACATAGGTGTTCCTCTTGTCCAGATACACTATATAGACAAAAGTATGTGGACATCCCTTCAAATTAGTGGATTCAGCTCTTTAAGGCACACCCGTTGCTGACAGGTGTATAAAATCGAGCACACAGCCATGCACTCTCCATAGACAAACATTGGCAGTAGAATGACCTTACTGAAGAGCTCAGTGACTTTCAACATGGCACAGTCATAGGATGCCACCTTTCCAACAAGTAAGTTTGTCAAATTTCTGCCCTGCTAGAGCTGCCCCGGTCAACTGTAAGTGCTGTTATTGTGAAGTGTAAACGTCTAGAGGCAACAACGGCTCAGCCGCGAAGTGGTAGGCCACACAAGCTTACAGAACAGACCGCCGACTGCTGAAGCGCGTAGCACGTAAAAATGGTCTGTCCTCGGTTGCAACACTCACTACAGAGTTCCAAACTGCCTCTAGAAGCAACGTCAGCACAATAACTGTTCGTCGGGAGCTTCATGAAATGGGTTTCCATGGCCTAGCAGCCACACACAAGCCTAAGATCACCATGTGCAATGCCTAACGTCGGCTAGAGTGGTGTAAAGCTCGCCGCCATTGGACTCTGGAGCAGTGGAAATGCGTTCTCTGGAGTGGTGAATCACGCTTCACCATCTGGCAGTCTGATGGACGAATCTGGGTTTGGCGGATACCCGAATGCATAGTGCCAACTGTAAAGTTTGGTGGAGGAGGAATAATGGTCTGGGGCTGTTTTTCATGGTTCGGGCTTGGCCCTTTATTTCCAGTGAAGGGAAATCTTAACACTACATCATGCAATGACATTCTAGACGATTCTGTGCTTCCAACTTTGTGGCAACAGTTTGGGGAAGGCCCTTTCCTGTTTCAGCATGACTATGCCCACGTGCACAAAGCGAGGTCCATACAGAAACGGTTTGTCGAGATCGGTGTGGAAGAACTTGACTGGCCTGCACAGGGCACTGACCTCAACCCCATCAAACACCTTTGGGATAATGCTCTTGTGGCTGAATGGAAGCAAGTCCAAGCAGCAATGTTCCAACATCTAGTGGAAAGCCTTCCCGGAAGAGTGGAGGCTGTTATAGCAGCAAACAGGGGACCAACTCCATGTTAATGCCCATGATTTTGGAATGAGATGTTCGATGAGCAGGTGTCCACATACTTTTGGTCATGTAGTGTATGTTACGGCTGTGTGAACAGTGATGGAAATGGCATCTTCCGTGGATCTGTTGGAGCGGTAGGCAGATTGGAGTGGGTCCAGTGTGCCTGGGATGCTGGCCTTGATGTGGGCCATGACCAACCTCTTGAAGCACTTCATGATGACCGAGGTGAGCGTGAAAGGGCGATAGTCATTTGGGTATGTCACTTTGTTTTTCTTGGGCACTGGGACGATGGTGGTCTCCTTAAAGCAGGTGGGGACTACAGCCAGGGAGAGGGACAGGTTGAAGATGTCCGAGAAGACGCCTGCCATGGGTCAGCACACACTCTGAGGATGAAGCTAGGGGTGCCATCTGGGTGGCGGCTTTGTGAGTATTCACTCTTGAGAGTTTTCCTCATGTCAGCCTCGGAGAGAGAAAGAACCTGGTCTTCCGGTGCAGCGAGAGTCTTCCTGGATGGCTCGGTATTGTCTGCCTTGAAGCAAGCATAAAATGTGTTAAGCTCATTTGGGTCGGAGGCTTCAGTGGGCACTGCACAGCTGGTTTTCCTTTGTAGTCTGTTATAGTCTGTAGTTCTTGCCACATGTGACGCGAGTCTGAGTTGTCAAACATCAATTCAAGTTTGAGTCTGTATTGTCTTTTTGCAGCCCTAATGGTTTTGTGGAGCTCATACCTGCTTGCCTTGTACTGGTCGTGCGGCATGAGTCATCAAGGTTAGTTCTGCTGACATTGAATGCTGCAGTACGGGCTCTCAGCATTGTACAGATATCTCATATTTGTGTATGAACTTCTACAATTTATAGTTGGTTTGAGGTTTTTAAGTCATTTAAATTTTGAGCTACAGTATATTGTCCCATGTACACATTGTGTAATTTACTGATGCTCCCTAACTAGCCCCATATGGATATCCAAAGTGAAACTAAATAGACTATGGTCAGTGTGCTGGGCATTACGATCGGGTCATGTGCAGAGCGCTCCAAATTGATGATTAATTGGGTGCTGCTAGCTGTGGGCATGTGGGCAAGATTTAAATAAACCCATTCAAAGGAAAACTGTTATGTACCCTTCATTCCGTGACATACCTTTTTTTCTGTTTAGGACGAGACTGACTTTATGACCAAAATGATCCTATTTACACTTTGTAGTACATTTTGACACTAGAATAAATGTTTCTGACTCATATCAATACCACATAGGCCGTTTTCAACCAGAAAAGTTTTTGTTCCCAATAGAAATTAATGGTAAATAATGTATTGTGTCATTTTGTAGTCACTTTTATTGTAAATAAGAATATAATATGTTTCTAAACACTTCTACATTCATGTGGATGCTACCATGATTACGGATAGTCCTGAGTGATTTGTGATGCACGAATATCATACCCCCAAGACATGCTAACCTTTCACCATTACAACAGAGGAGGTTACGTGTTATGATGCTGGGTGTCAATCAATAGTGGGCTAGGTGCTAAAAACATTTTAGATTGGGACTAGGACTTTGAAAAATACAGTCTGTAGAAGTGGGTTTTAAGGCCTGTTTTAAAAGTTCTGAGTGATGGAGCGGCTCTCAGATGGTCAGAGAGCATTCCATAGGCAAGGGAGCAGAAGGCTCGGTCCCCCATAGTTCTGAGAAGTGTCTTGAAGACTTGAAGCAGTAGGGAGTGGCTGGAGCGGAAAGTGTGAGGTGGCTCGCTGCTTGAGATGATGTCGCTGATCAAATCAAATCAAATTTGATGTAAGTGGAGCAGATTACATTCAAGGCTTTAAATACAAGCATGAGAATTTTGAAGTCGATCCTGTAGTTGACCGGTAGCCAGTGGAGTTGGGCCAGGATCGGGGTGATGTGGTCTGGCCAGGACCCTAGCAGCACTGTTCTGGATTAGTTGGAGCCTCTGTAGTGATTTGGCTGGGAGGCCCCTAAACAGCGCATTGCCGTAGTCGATCCGAGAGAAGATGAGGGTGTGGATGAGTTTCTCTGCATCTGGCTGGGAGAGTGATGGTATGACCCGGGCAATGTTTTTAAGATGGAAAAATTACGTTTTACATATTTGTTTTATGTGGGCATCGAAGAACAGATAAGGATCAAACATGACTCCTAGATGTTTCCAGCACAGATGACCTGCTCGGGTGTCCCAAAAAGCATAGCATTAGTCTTGCTACTGTTCAACTAGAGGAAGTTCTCTTTTGTCCTTGCCCTGATGTCCTCTAGGCAGCTGCTGAGTTTTTCTAGGGCAGAGATGGTGTCCGGTTTGGTGTTAATGTAAACCTGGGTATCGTCAACATAGCAGAGGAAGTTGATGTTATAATCTCTGAGGATTTGACCAAGAGGGAGCATAGCATGTTTAAAAACAAGATAGCCCCCAGCGCTGACCCCTGTGGGGCGCTGCATGTGACTGACGGTGTCAATCTTTTTAGTCAACACTATAATATACAAATTAAATAAATAACACGTTACACTAAACAAAGCAGTGGTAGGCAGATACATTAAATAATATTAATTAAATAAATAAATTGTACTAAATCCATTCTGTAAGCTTCCACTACATACAACATCCAAACAGAAAAAGGAGGTGGCTCATTATTCTTTTCGGAAAATTCATGTAGACCTTTTATTTTAGCTGCCGAGCTATTGAATTTGAGTAGGTCTTTGTACCCGTATGGCTCTCTGGTTACTCAGAGTAAACCTCTGGGTGTTCAGGACATGATAGCCAATCACATCAACTCGGTACTGGTACCCCGTGTATGTAGCCAAGTTATCGTTACTAATTCTTTATTTATTCCTTTTTGTCACTCTGAATTGATGGGAAGGGCCCTTAAGTAAGCATTTCACTGTTAGTCTACACCTGTTGTTTACGAAGTATGTGACAAATACAATTTGATTTGAAGTCAATAAGCTCAGTGAAACCTGAGATCTGAGTGGAGACTGATTGGAGAGACATCTGGGCAGTGCTTGACTTGGGCAGGAGCTCACCGGACCTGAGTACCAGCACCTAAAATGTTCTACTGCTTGAGTTCCTGATCCTCTTATAGAATATTATCTCAAAAGTATAATGGAGCTCCTGCACCTAAATATAAACAGTACCGGCACCCAAATTGAGTATCGACACCCATTTCAGTTCAAGTCAAGCACTGCATCTGGGACATTTCCATATCTGATGGACATATGAACCAACCTACTGAGCAACAGCCTCGCAATGTCACATTAAGATGGGGAAAAGGTGGATGACACAAGACATGGGGTTACATTTGCACTAATATATATATGTGATATTTATGATATAACATTTGCAGCTTGAATTGGATAATTATTATTATTCTGGGACTACACTGTAAAATTGTTGGACCGTTTAGATTGCGTTAGTAAATAGGAACCATTCAATTTGGTTGAAGTTCCAGGCGGACTTTTTTCAAGTAACACAGGATAGAGCTGTCAAATTTGGTAAGTAGATAGCTCGGTTTTAATTTGTTCTAATCCTCTTGGCAAGTAACAACAAGCAATAAGGTGATATTTAATACCAAAATATGTTGGAGACCTTCATAGTCCATGTACTGATCTAGTGATACATTTCACTCAAGCTGTAAGTTAGTAAGTAGCTAGCTATGAACTCCAAATGGGTGGCCACCATGCTAGCCACTATGCTATTCGGTTAGGTTGCTATCTTGTAACGTTAGCTAGGTAGCTGATAGAATCATGCGATTTATGCTATGCATTTTTATTCTAAATTGTGTTATTGGAACAGAATTCTCCATGTCTTTTCAAATGAACAACCAGCTTGCTAGCTTCAGAGAACATGCAGATTGATTGTGTTACAAAGTTGGCCTCTGGGTGGCAGTATATGCAGACTAAAAGTGACTGCTTGTTTCAACCAGTTTCGACCTCTAATCGTGGTCCTCATCTCGAGGTGATGTCGGATAAACGTCAGCGTGCCAGGGTCCAGGGCTCTTGGGCCAAACCACTGCCCAAACAACCACGTCCAACAGGTTTTCTCTCTGCCATGCTGACTAAATTAGACCAGGGCCTATATTCACAAAGCGATTCAGAATAGGCTGCTCTAGGATCGGTTTTTACTACCTTTCAGATGGTAATGATTAAGAAAGATTATATGGGTGGTGGGGTGTGATCCTAGATCAGCTCTCCTACTCTGAGACACTTTGTGAATACAAGCCCAACTCTTGTACTGTAATTTTGAGAAGTTCCATCCATGGTAATAGGCATGTTTTTAAATGGTCATATGGTGGCATATACATTTTTTTTTTGGCAGGAGCAATTCCCAATCCCAGCAGTGTTGTGAAACCAAGTGCCAATCCACCACCTGCAGGTTGGGGAGTGGGACAGCGGATGTTTGAGTATCAACAGCCTGCTAAGGTAAAACACATTTTTTGGGGACTTTATTGTATTATTAATAGATATTTTCCAAGAGAGGAAGTTCTTGAGAAAGAGGTGTCGCCATTGACGAGAGATTAAATCAGCCTTGGGCTAACAAGGATCAACTAATAAGTTTCCCTTCTTTCTCTCTCCTTTCTTTCCCTTTCCATTGCTCAGCCAGTCAGAGATGTCCCTACAGAGAAGGTGATGGAGTGAGTAACTTGATCAAACAATCATCTACTCCACTCCATCATTAAAACAACCAAAATGAAAAATGTGGAAGTATAACAACAATTCTTTACACATGCACCCTTTCCTGTTTCTCAGAATGGGCGGTGATTATGAGATCAGCCATGGCCCATCAGGAGTGTCAAGGTGAGTTATAATCTAATGCATAAGGAGGTCCAATAGACATTGAATCAACCATATAAATTACAACAGGGTCCTGTTCATTAGGGGAACACCGTAGCAAAACGTTTCACAATGACATTTTTTTTGGGGGGGGGGGGGGGGGGGGGGGGGGGAACAAGTTCAGATCATACCTCTCTATTTTGGACCGTTTCCTTCCATTTGTGTCTACTGAACACAACCCAGAATCTCTATGTCAGCTACTGCCTTCCACCCACTTCACCCGTCTGCTTCCCCCTTCAACAATTCTCTTCCCTCCTCAGACTGAGGCTGATCCCTGGGTTCCTGCCACCAGAGGAGGCTGACTGGGCCTTCAGTAAACTGCTAGCAGAGCTGCCTTGGTCTCAGAAGACTAACTACAGACAGGGTATGTCGACAATCATGTCTCCAAAGGTAGACCACACAGCCATACTGTACATATAGCCTACAGAGGTGAGCAAACTGATTTTTTTTATGGGTGCCATGTTGCCATTGGAAGTTTCTCCCAATTAGAATGTTATTGTCATGGAACATTTGGTACCAATGTAAGAGCGACCATCCCTGTGCAGCTGACCCGGGATTCATTCTCGACAACCCTTCCTATTCTCAAGCTAACATGCTAATCATTGCCCTACCAAAACCATAGCTATCTACATAGCGGCCTTTACCCACCATTCCTTGGTTCCTTCCCTTTGTGACCACAAGACGGAAGGACTGGATCAGGACAAGTCTTCTCCAATGATAGGTCACGGAAGGAAAAGAGACAAGGAAACAAGGAAAGACCATTTAAGTTGAATTGGAACCCAGCCCTGATTGAGGTTGCATCAGATTTCCCATCTGTCTCTCATTGAGCAAGACACAGTAGCAGACGACAACAACACGAAGGAGGCGCGTGACTCAAAATAAATAGGGGAGGGGTGCTACTGCTACACACACACACCCACTCCTCTTTATAGCCTTGCTGCACATTGACTCACTTTTTCCTACACAAGCAAGACTCTAAATAGGCTCTACATGACTAAGGCTGTGTCCCAAATAGCGCCCTATTCCCTAAAGAGTGCACTACTTTTGACCAGAGCCTTAAAGTGGAGGCCAATAATCCGAAGGCTGGCAGATGGCGATATTGATCTGGTATTGATGGTTTTGTCTTACCATCCAAACGCATTGTATGCAGCTGGCAATACATTCGTATCCCCCGTGGACCGGTTCGTACCTAAAACATTCTCCATTCAGGCTGCCAAGGCGTCGATTTCCTCCTTAACCTCATAAGGATCGTAGCTTTTTTTTCAATTTCCGCCTAAAATGACATACCCAAATCTAACTGCCTGAAGCAAGGATATGCATATTCTTGATACCATTTGAAAGGGAACACTTTGAAGTATTTGGAAATGTGAAATTAATGTAGGATAATATATAACACATTAGATCTGGTAAAAGATAATACAAACAAAAAAACATGCGTTTTCTATTTATTTTTTTGTTCCTTCTTTGAAATGCTAGAGAAAGGCTACAATATAATATTGCAGTTTAGGCGCAATTGAAATTTGGCCACTAGATGGCAGCGTTGTGTGTGTGCAAAGTTTCAGATTGATCCATTGAAGCATTGCAATACTGGACTATTTTGTATCAAGTCTGCCCAAATGTGCCGAATTGGTCAATTGATACATTTTCAAGTACATAACTATAGAGAACATACAAAAATGATATGGTAATACAAAATGTAAGTTTACACACTACCAGGAATGTCATACATGATGGATCATTAGCTTATACACTAACTTTCACACATCTAGATGGCCGGGCGGGGTGGGTGTGGAGCCAGAGACGGCAGGGGTTCAAACTGTAGAACACAGTTCCTACATTTGAATATAATAATGGATTTTATCAAACAAAACTACGCTGCATTTTATCTCTGGGACCCTTAGGATGACAAATCAGACCAAGATTACTGAATGTAAGTACATTATTTACCTTCAGAGGTGAATGCATCAAACCAGTTGCCGTGATAAGATTTTTGTTGTTGTGCACTCTCCTCAAACAATAGCATGGTATTTATTCACTGTAATAGCTACTGTAAATTGGACAGTGCAGTTAGATTAACAAGAATTGAAGCTTTCTGCCCATATAAGACATGTCTATGTCCTGGAAATATTGCTGTTACTTACAACATTCATGCTAATCATATTAGCACATGTTAGTTCAACCGTCCCTTACACGGGACCCGATCCCGTAGAGGTTAACTAAATTTAATGGCGAGAAGGCGGGAAAAATTTGGAAAATATGCATTCTTTCTTTATGAACACCATTTTTTTACGCAACAGCCACTTTTGCATGGTGGTGGAAAATTGTGTTTCATAAAGAAAGTATGCATATTTTCCCATTTTTTTCCCACCTTCTCGCCATTAAATATAGTTAACCTCTACGGGATCGGTGTCCCGTATAAGGGACAGTTGAACTAACATGGCTAATGTGATTAGCATTTACATTTTAATCATTTTAGCAGACGCTCTTATCCAGAGCGACTTACAGTTAGTGAGTGCATACATTTTCATACTGGCCCCCCCATGGGAATCGAACCCACAACCCTGGTGTTGCAAACGCCATGCTCTACCAACTGAGCTACACGGGGCCCATGAATGTTGTAAGTAGAACGTTTTAGGTACGAACTGGTCCACGGGATACGAGTATATTGCCGGCTGCATACAATGAAGCTAAGATGGAAATGACTCTTTATCGCCATCTGCCAGCCTTTGGGCTAGGCTTCCCAAAAAATTAGACCAAGAAAAAAATATGAAGTATAAAATAATTTATTTAGTCTCTGTGTTTCATAATTGTCCTTCAATTTGCAAGTGGCTGAATGTATCTCACCGGAGAAAACATCAGTGAGCGTAACTGCGCCCCTCTGTCACAGTATGTGTAGTCCATCTATCTGATGCTGTCTGGTCAAAAAGAGTATAACATTGTTGCTGCCCATAGCATTGAATTCAATAGCAATGGAAGCCAGCGAGCATTTGGCCTCCCTTGATAAAGAAAATATAAAAGAATAGCCAATCAGCGTTGAGCTGAACTGAGTGAGCTCAACTTTGAATGGTCCTGGTGCACCAAAAGAAAGTGTCAAGGGAAGCCAGTTTGGATTTGGCTTCACACCAATAACATCAAAAGCAAAACGTCATTGACAGAAAAAACGTGAATTGTTGCATCTCGTTGTGTGGTTGTCCTCCGGTGGCTAGCTAGCTAGCAAAAATCTGTACTTCGTAAATTAGCCATGGATGGAGATAGGGATTTGGACTTGTGGACTTTATCCAACCATAAATTCATACATTGTTTCCCTGCCTTGAAAGGATGGAAGTTCAAAATGTAGCTAGATGTACATAGTAGGCTAACGTTAACTAGCTGGCTCATCGTTACCCATGAAAGTAAGTTAGGCTAGCAAGCAAGCCTTTTAGCCAGGTAGCCTAGTCTAGGACAACAAAAACTAAAAGCGTGTAGGCTACTGTATACACAGTCATAGACTGTTTTGTTAACTTGAAAGAGAGGACGATGGCATTGGCGTTCCTCAGTCTACAAGTAGGGTGAGTCAACATGTTTTTTTTCTACTTGCTTGCACACACACACACACACACACACACACATATTTGATTTGAAATCAGTACCATGGACAGCCACTTGATATTTAGCTGAAGTTTTGTTTTCAGTATCTTTAAGTTGAATGACGTTAGTTGCGGCAGCTCCTGTTTTTTTGCGACTTGCGGTAACTCTCCGTGGTTCTAAATCAAGTGGGTGGGCCTATGCCCTCCCAGCCCCCCCCCATGGCTGCGCCCCTGCCCAGTCATGTTTAATCCATAGATTAGGGCCTAATTTATTTATTTCAATTGATAGATTTTCTTATCTTAATCGTAACTCAGTAAAATCGTTGAAATTGTTGCATGTTGCGTTTATATTTTTGTTCAGTATATATATCACGGTGGTGTATGAACTAACGGGTAATAGAGCAAACAATGCAATTATCACAACACATAGGTTGTAATATGGCTTTTTTCCCCCCCTGGCTTGGCTTCCCCAATGATTTTACCCACGCACCGCTACTGGAACCCTATGGGCCCTGGTCAAAAGTAGTGCACTGTAAACGGAATAGGGTGCCATTTGGGACGCTGCCCATGACTGACTAGAGTTTTGTTTATCCTTGTCCTGATATCATCTTTTTATGGGTACAGTGAAAGGTTTGGGTTTAGCTATAATAAATGAAATCATGTCTAAATATTTGCTTTGGGCCTAATGTATGAACTGTGAAGTCTCAACTCGGGGAACAGTGGAATGACGTTTTGGCTTTGAGCCTGTTTTCTTTTATGCCCCCAAATGAGAAATGTATTAGTGCTTGCTTCCATAGAAAAGAGCGATGGAGCAAGGTTTTATAAAGATGACCTGGGAACTGCAGGTTTCCCTCATTTGGGGTGACTATTTCACGATGCAAAATAGTTTTAAATCTTTTGCACCATGAAAATGTCGCCCTTGGAGTAAAACAATGCAGTGGAAGGCACTTAGCCCATGACCACATTAAGTAGCCCATGACCACATTAAGTAGCCCACACACTGTCAAATATGGATGCAAATTATGAGGATGTTTTCTGCTAATTGCTCAAGAAATCAAGTAAAACTTACAATTAAATATATATATATATATGTGTGTGTGTATACATCACCATTACAATGAAGTTACTGGGACCTGAAATTACACAGTTTTGTTGTTTACTGTCCATATGTATTATACTTTATATCACTAGACTATTATTCTGGTTCCTGCTAGAGCTCCAACTAGTCATGATTTCGCCTCTTTGTCAAATTGCCTTGACCCAAATACAGTACCAATTTAGAGATTGTTTACTTGTTTCTGGCCGCCCAGCTCTATTAAATCAACTAATTTGTGTGTGTGTCCATGTGTCTGTGTCTGTGCAATGTGCATGCACTACAGGAAGTGATTGTGTGTGTGTGTGTGTGTGTGTGTGTGTGTGTGTGCGCCTGCACCTGTGTATGTACAGAAAATGTGCTTATATCACTATACTATCCAAGGACACAGATTATTCATATAGTGTAACTGTAATGCCACTGTGTGTTGTATAGGTGAGGCCTATGAGGAGCCCAGGTTAACCTGCTGGTATGGAGAACTGCCTTACACGTACGCCCACTCTACTATGGAGGCCAACACACAGGTATGATATATACACCTCTGCCGCATGAGAGGATAGTGGAACTGAATTTAATGAGCATTGAGCTTGTAAAAGAGATGTGATCATTTTACTAATGTATTTCCCCTTTATCTCAACCACAATGCACTTTTGCTCAGTCTCTTACCATTTCTCTCGGACTCTTGCTTTCGCTCTACCTCAGTTGACCTTTTCCTTGTTCTCCCTTTTACTCTCTTTCTCTGCCAATGTGTACGCTAGTACTGCTAACACAACAGCTTATCTATATACTGATTCCCTAAACCTACTACTTCCCTAAGAAATGCTAAGCATATAAATAATACTGTAGACATAGTGAAACACTGTAAAAAAGCACTATAAGCATCTAACGTGAGCCGCGGTACATAACCTCCCTCTCTCTTTTTCTCATTCTTCGCCCTTCTCTCCCTCCCTCAGTGGCACCCGTTGCTGGTCACCCTGCGCTGCGCCATAGAGAAGGCGAGTGGCCACCGTTTCAACTCGCTGATGTGCAACCTGTACAGGAACTGCAAAGACAGCATCGGCTGGCACAGTGATGACGAGGCCGCGCTGGGCACCCGGCCCACCATCGCCTCCCTTAGCCTGGGGGACATGAGGGTGTTCAGCCTCCGCAAGCAGCCCGCACCGGTAAGACTGGGATCATGGGGGAGGGAGGTAGGAAGGAAGGGAGGGAGGTGGGATGGGGAGAGATGGGGGGGGGGGGGGGGGGGGGGGGGGGGGGGGATATAAGGCCCATCATCGCCTCCCTCAGCCTGGGGGACATGAGGGTGTTCAGCCTCCACAAGCTGCCTACGCCTATTAGACTGGAGGAGAGACAGAGGGATGGGTTACAATCGTGTAGGGATGAGGTTTTGCTCTGTTTGGAGTACCCCCCCGAAATACCCCATATGTTGATTTTACCAGTAGGCCTATGTTCTTAAAACTAGATATAAAGTATGTAGAAAAGATTATGGACCTATATTTTTTAAAAGTAATATCATCTTTAAGAACTAACAATCACCAAAATAAAAGCTAGACAGTCACGAGAACCAAAAATGGCAAAAACAATTTAGCAGTATTAATTTTATGTTTGAGCAAAAGAACACGCTATTAGCCATGGCATAGAATTGCACAAAACTAGCTTTAAAAGCAAAATTTTCTCTCAGCTGCATGGATGTGTATAATTGCATGAAATTGGCTTAAAAATGCAATACTTTCTCTACACCACCAAGATGGGGGCCTCTAAAATGTTTTCAAAAATGTCGCTGCGCCGACCACTCTCATTGCCACGCCCCCTGCGATTTAGCCCCTTTATGAACCAGAAAAAAACCTGTATGAGAGTAGTTTCCCATAGATTACCGTGGCCTAAATCTGGACAGTTAGCCTAAGTCTTGTTCATACAATGTTATTACCCACATGAAAAAATACTACAGTTTACTATAGAATACTACAGTATTTAGTATAGAATTATCAGTGGTGTAAAGTACTAAAGTATTTTTGACTACTTTTACTTCACTGCATTCTTAAAGAAAATAATGTACTTTTTGCTCCATACATTTTCCCTGACACCCAAAAGTACTCGTTAAATTTTGAAAGCTTAGCAGGACAGGAAAATGGTCCAATCACACACTTATCAAGAGAACATCCCTGGTCATCCCTACTGATGATCTGCTCTTCTCATTAAACACATATGCTTTGTTTGTAAATTATGTCTGAGTGTTGGAGTGTGCCCCTAACTATCCGTACATATTTTTTTTAAACTAGAAAATGGTGCCGTCTGGTTTGCTTAATATAATATTTGAGATTATTTATACTTTTAATTTTGATACTTAAGTATATTTAAAACCAAATACTTTTAGACTTTTACTCAAGTAGTATTTTACTGGGTGACTTTTACTTGAGTACATTTTCTATTAAGGTATCTTTACTTTTACTCAAGGATGACAATTGGGTACATATTCCACCACTGAGAATGAGAATACTGTAGAATAATATACAATTACACACTGTAGTATCCCTTGATTGTGTAGTGCTTACTATAGAATTGTGTAGTATACTGTAGAATACTATACTACACACTGTAGTATCCCTCGATCATGTGTAGTACTAACTATAGCTTGTTGTAGTATACTTGTAGAATACTATATTAAAAACCACAGTAGTATCTGCAAAAAAACAGTAAATACTACAGTAATGTCTGCAAAAACACTACACTTTTTAAAAAACTATAGTAAATACTACAGTATTTAATTTCCATATACAGTACCCTGCCCATTCCCCTCCCGCATATCCCAATTCGTGACACCCATAATTGAGAAACCTACATGCCAAGTATAGACCATATATTGTGTTCCCTACAGGTTATAGAAAATAGCAGAAGCTCTGAACTAGCCGTTAAGACACCAGTCCTACCTACAAGTTATGAAACATTTGCTATTTTACTAGGTTTCCTCAAGGAGAAATCCTCCACTTCAATGTCAAAGATAAAACAAAAACACTATAGTAAATACTACAGTAATGTATGCAAAAACACTACAGTAAATACTACAGTATACTACAGTTCTTTTACTATAGTATTTATACTATAGTTAACTGTAAATACTACAGAACTACAGTATACTACTGTAAGTACTACAGTAAATACTACAGTATTAACTGTAGTGTTTTTGCGGACTTAAGTCTTTAGTCTGCAAGAACACTACAGTGAATACTACAGTAAAGTCCGCAAAAACACTATAGTGAATACTATAGTATTTACAGTGCATTCTGAAAGTATTCAGAATGTGTCTATATAACACACCTGTCTATATAAGGTCCCACAGTTGACAGTGCATGTCAGAGCAAAAACCAAGCCATGAGGTCGAAGGAATTGTCCATAGAGCTCCAAGACAGGATTGTGTCGAGGCACAGATCTGGGGAAGGGTACCAAAACATTTCTGCAGCATTGAAGGTCCCCAAGAACACAGTGGCCTCCATCATTCTTAAATGGAAGAAGTTTGGAACCACCAAGACTCTTCCTAGAGCTGGCCGCCTGGCCAAACTGAGCAATTGGGGGAGAAGGGCCTTGGTCAGGGATGTGACCAAGAACCCGATGGTCACTCTGACAGAGCTCAAAAGTTCCTCTGTGGAGATGGGAGAACCTTCAAGAACGACAACCATCTCTCCAGCACTCCACCAATCAGGCCTTTATGGTAGAGTGGCCAGACAGAAGCATTCCTCAGTAAAAAGCACATTACAGCCTGCTTAGAGTTTGCCAAAAGGCACCTAAAGACTTTCATGTCTGATGAAACCAAGATTGAACTCTTTGGCCTGAATGCCAAACGTCACGTCTGGAGAAAACCTGGCACCATCCCTACGGTGAAGCATGGTGGTGGCAGCATCATGCTGTGGGGATGTTTTTCAGTGGCAGGGACTGGGAGACTAGTCAGGATTGAGGGAATGATGAACGGAGCAAAGTACAGAGAGATCCTTGATGAAAACCTACTCCTTAGTGCTCAGGACATCAGACTGGGGCGAAGTTTCACCTTCCAACAGGACAATGATCCTAAGCACACAGCCAAGACAATGCAGGAGTGGCTTCGGGACAAGTCTCTGAATGTCCTTGAGTGGCCCAGCCAGAGTCCGGGCTTGAACCCGATCGAACATTTCTGGAGAGACCTGAAAATAGCTGTGCAGCGATGCTCCCCATCCAACCTGTCAGAGCTTGAGAGGATCTGCAGAGAATAATCTGAGAAACTCCACAAATACAGGTGTGCCAAGCTTCTAACGTCATACCCAAGAAGACTAGAGGCTGTATCGCTGCCAAAGGTGGTTCAACAAAGTACTGAGTGGAGGGTCTGAATACTTATGTAAATGTACTATCTCATATATTTATTTTTATAAAATGTCTAAAAACCAGTTTTTGCTTCGTCTACTATAACGTAACCTCCCGAGTGGCGCAGTGGTCTAAGGCACTGTATTGCAGTGCTAGCTGTGCCACTAGAGATCCTGGTTCGAATCCAGGCTCTGTCGTAGCCGGCCGCGACCGGGAGACCCATGGGGCGGCGCACAATTGGCCCAGCGTCGTCCAGGATAGGGGAGGGAATGGCCGGCAGGGATGTAGCTCAGTTGGTTGAGCATGGCGTTTGCAACGCCAGGGTTGTGGGTTCATTTCCCAAGGTGGGCCAGTAAAAAAAATTATATAAAAAAAATAATAATAATGTATGCACTCACTAACTGTAAGTCGCTCTGGATAAGAGCGTCTGCTAAATGACTAAAATGTAATGTAAAATGTAACAAAATGTGGAAAAAGTCAAGGGGTCTGAATACTTTCCGAATGCACTGTATACCATAGTATTCTATAGTCTTTTTCAATGTGGGTATATCGGTGTTTATAACCAACTACTTTCTAACTCGGTGGTAACGCTCATCCATCATAATGTAGATTAACTGTGCTAGTTGTGTAAGTATACAGATGTGATATGTGGTGTTACAGTTTGTACCCTAGACTCAGTTGGTGGCTTTTTATTGCCCTGTGTGTCTGTGTCAGGAGGAGAACGGAGACTACACGTATGTGGAGAGGCTGCGGATCCCTCTGACTCACGGCACTCTCCTGATGATGGAAGGAGCCACTCAGGATGACTGGCAGGTAAGCCCGGCCAATCAAACACAGGGACACACCCTAACACCCTACAGGTAACTGCCAAAATAAAGGAAACACCAACATAAAGTGTCTTAATAGGGCGTTGGGCCACCACGAGACAAAACAGCTTCAATGCACCTTGGCATAGATTCTACAAGTGTCTGGAACTCTATTGGAGGGATGCAATACCATTCTTCCACTAGAAATTACATCATTTGGTGTTTTGATTGATGGTGGTGGAAAACGCTGTCTCAGGCGCCGCTCCAGAATCTCCCATAAGTGTTAAATTGGGTTGAAATCTGGTGACTAAGATGGCCATGGCATATGGTTAACATTGTTTTCATGCTCATTAAACCATTGTGACCAGACCACTAATGCCCTGTGGATGGGAGCATTGTCATCTTATGTGGACATAACCATGGTAGCCAAAGTATTTATACATGACCCAAAGCATGATGGGATGTTAATTGCTTAAATAACTCAGGAACCACACCTGTGTGGAAGCATCTGCTTTCAATATCATTTGTATCCCTCATTTACTCAAGGTTTCCTTTATTTTAGCAGTTACTTTTATGTCCCACACAGGATGACTGGCAGGTAGGCCCGGCCAATCAAACACAGGGACACGCCCCAACAACACCAGGGTCGTGTTCATTAGGGCACGCAATGGAAAACATTTAAAAACAGAAAACAAAAGTGAGTGTTCCTTATTGGATAAGTCCAGGTAGTCCCTCCCTGTTTCAGTCCACTTTCTTTGATTTGGTGCCTAATGAACACGACCCATCTATCACAAAAAAAAAAAAAGCATACAGTACCAGTCAAAAGTTTGGACACACCTACTCATTCCAGGGTTTTTCTTTATTTTTACTATTTTCTACATTGTAGAATAATAGTGAAGACATCTAAACTATGAAATAACACATATGGAATCATGTAGTAACCAAAAAAGTGTTAAACAAATCAAAATATATTTTATATTTGAGATTCTTCAAAGTAGCCACCCTTTTGTATTTGTATTTATTATGGATCCCCATTAGCTGCTGCCAAGGCAGCTACTCTTCCTGGGGTCCAGCAAAATTAAGGCAGTTCATACAATTTTAAAAACATTACAATACATTCACAGATTTCACAACACACTGTGTGCCCTCAGGCCCCTACTCCACCACTACCACATATCATCTACAGTACAAAATCCATGTGTATGTGTGTATAGTGCGTATGTTATTGTGTGTGTATGCATGTGTCTGTACCTATGTTTGTGTTGCTTCACAGTCTCCGCTGTTCCATAAGGTGTTTTTAAAAAATCTGTTTTCTAAATCTAATTGTACTACTTGCATCAGTTACTTGATGTGGAATAGAGTTCCATGTAGTCATGGCTCTATGTAGTACTGTGTGCCTCCCATAGTCTGTTCTGGACTTGGGGACTGTGAAGAGACCTCTGGTGGCATGTCTTGTGGGGTGTGCATGGGTGTCCGAGATGTGAGCCAGTAGTTCAAACAAACAGCTTGGTGGATTCAACATGTCAATACCTCTCATAAATACAAGTAGTGATGAAGTCAATCTCTCCTCCACTTTGAGCCAGGAGAGATTGACATGCATATTATTAATATTAGCTCTCTGTGTACATCCAAGGGCCAGCCGTGCTGCCCTGTTCTGATCCAATTGCAATTTTCATAAGTCCTTTTTTGTGGCACCTGACCACACGACTGAACAGTAGTCCAGGTGCGACAAAACTAGGGCCTGTAGGACCTGCCTTGTTAATAGTGCTGTTAAGAAGGTAGAGCAGCACTTTATTATGGACATACAGTGAGGAAAAAAAGTATTTAGTCAGCCACCAATTGTGCAAGTTCTCCCACTTAAAAAGATGAGAGAGGCCTGTAATTTTCATCATAGGTACACGTCAACTATGACAGACAAATTCAGAATAAAAAATCCAGAAAATCACATTGTAGGATTTTTTATGAATTTATTTGCAAATTATGGTGGAAAATAAGTATTTGGTCACCTACAAACAAGCAAGATTTCTGGCTCTCACAGACCTGTAACTTCTTCTTTAAGAGGCTCCTCTGTCCTCCACTCGTTACCTGTATTAATGGCACCTGTTTGAACTTGTTATCAGTATAAAAGACACCTGTCCACAACCTCAAACAGTCACACTCCAAACTCCACTATGGCCAAGACCAAAGAGCTGTCAAAGGACACCAGAAACAAAATTGTAGACCTGCACCAGGCTGGGAAGACTGAATCTGCAATAGGTAAGCAGCTTGGTTTGAAGAAATCATCTGTGGGAGCAATTATTAGGAAATGGAAGACATACAAGACCACTGATAATCTCCCTCGATCTGGGGCTCCACGCAAGATCTCACCCCGTGGGGTCAAAATGATCACAAGAACGGTGAGCAAAAATCCCAGAACCACACGGGGGGGACCTAGTGAATGACCTGCAGAGAGCTGGGACCAAAGTAACAAAGCCTACCATCAGTAACACACTACGCCGCCAGGGACTCAAATCCTGCAGTGCTAGACGTGTCCCCCTGCTTAAGCCAGTACATGTCCAGGCCCGTCTGAAGTTTGCTAGAGTGCACTTGGATGATCCAGAAGAGGATTGGGAGAATGTCATATGGTCAGATGAAACCAAAATATAACTTTTTGGTAAACACTCAACTCATCGTGTTTGGAGGTCAAAGAATGCTGAGTTGCATCCAAAGAACACCATACCTACTGTGAAGCATGGGGGTGGAAACATCATGCTTTGGGGCTGTTTTTCTGCAAAGGGACCAGGACGACTGATCCGTGTAAAGGAAAGAATGAATGGGGCCATGTATCGTGAGATTTTGAGTGAAAACCTCCTTCCATCAGCAAGGGCATTGAAGATGAAACGTGGCTGAGTCTTTCAGCATGACAATGATCCCAAACACACCGCCCGGGCAACGAAGGAGTGGCTTCGTAAGAAGCATTTCAAGGTCCTGGAGTGGCGTAGCCAGTCTCCAGATCTCAACCCCATAGAAAATCTTTGGAGGGAGTTGAAAGTCTGTGTTGCCCAGCGACAGCCCCAAAACATCACTGCTCTAGAGGAGATCTGCATGGAGGAATGGGCCAAAATACCAGCAACAGTGTGTGAAAACCTTGTGAAGACTTACAGAAAACGTTTGACCTGTGTCATTGCCAACAAAGGGTATATAACAAAGTATTGAGAAACTTTTGTTATTGACCAAATACTTATTTTCCACCATAATTTACAAATAAATTCATTAAAAATCCTACAATGTGATTTTCTGGATTTTTTTTCCTCATTATGTCTGTCATAGTTGACGTGTACCTATGATGAAAATTACAGGCCTCTCTCATCTTTTTAAGTGGGAGAACTTCCACAATTGGTGGCTGACTAAATACTTTTTTCCCCACTGTACTTCTCCCCATTTTAGCTACTGTTATATCAATATGTTTTGACCATGACAGTTTACAATCCAGGTTTACTCCAAGCAGTTTAGTCACCTCAACTTGCTCAATTTCCACATGATTTATTACAAGATATAGTTGAGGTTTAGGGTTTAGTGAATGATTTGTCCCAAATACAATGCTTTTAGTTTTAGAAATATTTACGACTTATTTATTCCTTGCCACCCACTCTAAAACTAACTGCAACTCTTTGTTAAGTGTTGCAGTCTTTTCAGTCACTGTAGTAGCTGACATGTATAGTGTTGAGTCATCCGCATACATAGACACTCTAGCTTTACTCAAAGCCAGTGGCATATCATTAGTAAAGATTGAAAAAAGTAATGGGCCTAGACAGCTGCCCTGGGGAATTCCTGATTCTACCTGGATTATGTTGGAGAGGCTTCCATTAAAGAACACCCTCTGTGTTCTGTTAGACAGGTAACTCTTCCACAATATAGCAGGTGGAGTAAAGCCATAACACATACGTTTTTCCAGCAGCAGACGATGATCGATAATGTCAAAAGCCTCACTGAAGTCTAACAAAACAGCCCCCACAATCTTTTTATCATAAATTTATCTCAGCCAATCATCAGTCATTTGTGTAAGTGCTGTGCTTGTTGAATGTCCTTCTCTATAAGCGTGCTGAAAGTTTGTTGTCAATTTTGTTTACTGTAAAATAGCATTGTATCTGGTCAAACACAATTTATTTGCCTTGATGACAGCTTTGCACACTCTTGGCATTCTCTCAACCAGCTTCATGAGGTAGTCACCTGGAATGCATTTCAATTAACAGGTGTGCCTTGTTAAAAGTTAATTTGTGGAATTTATTTCCTCCTTAATGCGTTTGAGCCAATCAGTTGTGTTGTGACAAGGTAGGGGTGGTATACAGAAGATAGCACTATTTGGTAAAAGACCAAGTCCATATTATGGCAAGAACAGCTCATATAAGCAAAGAGAAATGACAGTCCATCATTACTTTAAGACATGAAGGTCAGTCAATACGGAAAATGTCAAGAACTTTTAAAGTTTATTGAAGTGCAGTCGCAAAACCAATTAAGCGCTCGGATGAAACTGGCTCTCATGACGACCGCCACAGGAATGGAAGACCCAGAGTTACCTCTGCTGCAGAGGATAAGTTCATTAGCGTTAACTGCACCTCAGATTGCAGCCCAAATAAATGCTTCATAGAGTTCAAGTAACAGACATCTCAACATCAACTGTTCAGAGGAGACTGTGTGAATCAGGCCTTCATGGTCGAATTGCTGCAAAGAAACCACTACTAAAGGACACCAGTAAGAAGAAGATACTTGCTTGGGCCAAGAAACACGAGCAATGGACATTAGACTGGTGGAAATGTGTCCTTTGGTCTGGAGTCCAAATTTGAGATTTTTGGTTCCAACCGCCGTGTCTTTGTGAGAAGCGGTGTGGGTGAACGGATGATCTCCGCATGTGTATTTCCCACCGCAAAGCATGGAGGAGGAGGTGTTATGGTGTGGGGTGCTTTGCTGGTAACACTGTCTGTGATTTTATTTAGAATTCAAGGTCCACTTAACCAGCATGGCTACCACAGCATTCTGCAGCGATATGCCATCCTATCTGGTTTGGGCTTAGTGGGACTTTTTTGGTTACTACATGATTCCATATGTGTTATTTCATAGTTTTGATGTCTTCACTATTATTCTACAATGTAGAAAATAGTAATAATAAAGAAAAACCCTTGAATGAGTAGGTGTGCTAAAACTTTTGACCAGTAGTGTATATCTTATTTATTTAATTTCGTCAACAAGGTACACACATCAACGTAAAAGTGAGTTTATATTTATTAGGGATATTTCTTATTCACAATTTCCATTTAACAAATACACATTGGCAATTGAGTTAGCTAGCTATAAAGCTCACGTTCATCCATAGATCATGGTCCCCCAAGAATGAAAGACCATACATGTAGCTTGCTGGTCCCTGGCGCAAAAAGGTTGAGAAACACCAATAGAAGTGTTTCGGTATTCAAAATCTTACGCTTTATCGACCTTGCCAGGAACAACAAAACCCAGTGAGCCGACCGTGCGTGTTGCTCTCTAATCATATGGTATGTGATAACAGGCTTTAGTCCTAGTGGGTTATGAGTTATCAGACAACAGCAAAGACTTTCTAAAGTAAAGAACATTATGTCTGTCTCTGTGGTTCTGAGCTTTTCTATCAGACAAGGATTTCTTAGGAGAGAGAGTGGGGGTGTGTGTGTGTCGGTAAGCAAGTAAGTGTGTGAATGTGTCCGGACTACCTCCACCAAACACACACTTCCAGTGACCTGAAACTATAGAACACAGTGTCTCTGCTGTTTATAACCCTAGCCACCATAACAAACTGCACATATTTATGACTGTTACTGTTATGGTGTTTCCCTATTATACACAAAGAATGCTGTGTGATGGAAAGTAAAGTAAGAGAGTTCCCAGACAGACAGATTGACAGCCAGACGGAGCGATTGATAGGGAGCAGGAGGAAGGAAAAACCAGAGATTTAATGAAAGCAATTTATTTGCTCTCAGGGACGAATATGTGTGTGTGTGTGTGTGTGTGTGTGTGTAAGTGCGCACATGGGTGTGTTCATCTGTGGATATCATAGGTGTGTGTGTGTGTGTAAAAGTATATGTGGACGATTGTGTGTATGTGTGTGTCTTCGGGTCGGATCACACCGCTGGACTGCCTGCCTCCGTCACTAAGACGGTAGGAGCCATTTATCCTGTCAGACAGTGTAATCTTCCCATCCTGCTGGACCCCGTGTACTCTCTCTCCTGCTCCACAGTCAGTTGCCGTAGTTTCCTGGCCCCGACACTGGACCCTAGAGAAGCGCCACTTTAAAGGCCCAGTCCTTAATTTAAAGAGACAAAGAGAGAAACGTGTTGAGACAAAAAGGTCAGCTGCGTTTTATGGCAACATCTGGCAGGAGTCCCATCCCAGAGAATTCTTAGTCTGGCCCCCACCTTGCCCCCACTTAATCAAGCTACTTTTCACAAAAACCCAGCGCCTAGTTAATTCACCATCCGTTTGAAACGGACACTAAATATTTAGACTGGGGTGTAGATCTTGTTGTGTAACCACTGTGGTAACTCTCCCCATCTAAATCCGGACTGAGCGTTTGTCTTCGCCAAGACTCGTTCCCTGGTGACAGTTTTTAGATAAACAGCGAACAGTGTATCTGATTTTGGTTGAAGCTTGGAGGTGAGAAGTGAGACTACGTCTGCCAAGTCACTAGTAAGACATGCACAGAGTGGGTGTGTGTCAGTCTGTCTGTCCTGTCTGTGTCTGTCTGTAAGAGAGAGTGAGAGGCAAGTGAGGGAGAGTCTCTGATACAAGGCCAAGGAGTAGTGGGACAAAGGACTGATCTTACTGTCTGTCTGTCTGTCTTGTGTGTGAGCTGTGCATGTGTGTTTTGCCTCTCGACTTAATAACTCCGCTATGGGAAGGCTCCTTGAAGTGATGGTGGTAAAACAGAAAAACAACATAGTGGAGGTACTTGACTAACGCAGTTCAGTGAACTCACTCTAATACACATAACTATTATTTGCTTTTGTGTCCTCAACAGCATTCAGTGGCCAAAGAGTACCACGACCGAGGGCCTCGTATCAACCTGACCTTCCGCACCATGTACCCAGAGCATGACCGAGACCAAGGGCCAGACTACCACCCCAACACTAAACACACTGGCCTTCACAAACAACTTCACACTTAACGCTGGGTGGGACTGCTAAGAAGAGTGGTAAAGGAAGATTGTGTGGATATTTGGAGGAAGAGGAGATAATGACCTGGACCCTTGATGGACACCATTAAGTACACTTTATGGGATAGTGAGGAAGATGATCAGTGTTGACATCAGGAGAAAATACAAGCTTAAAACCACCAGACAAGATTTGAAAGGAGTTATCAAAGTTTACAGTTATGCTCACTAAATATGTGGAGAGCAATGTTATTGTTTCATTGCATCATACAGTAGATTTTGCCTTAAATATATCCCATAACGGATTAGTTTGACAACTATAGTTTCTGTGGAATGGAATCTCTGGGGTCAAGTTCTATGAAGGCCTTATAAAGTTAAAATCTGAAGTAAAAAATATTTTTGTATAATTTATCCACATTTATTTATTTATTTGAAGACTAATCAGGACATGGAAAATATGGAGGAGGAGTTTTGGCTTTCTACCTGGTTGCCTTTTATTTCATCTTTCTTTGGCTTCAAATTTTGATTTTGTTTAATTAGCTATTCTATTTACAATTACAAGTCGTAATTTAATGCCCCTTGTTTTGTAGACTTTTGGGAGAAAAAATCCCAGCTATATAAAATGTGAAAGAACAACTTTCAAGTTGACCAAATATAGCCCTGTTTATTTTGTAACACTAAAGGATAAAGTTATTGTTTTGAATGGTTGGTAAATAAACAGAAAGAGAGAATCATCACATTTGTATTGGTCACACGTATTTAGCAGATGTTATTGCGGGTGTAGCGAAATGTTTAGCTTGCAGAAGTTTGAAAATATCTCTAACTTTCATTATCCCCATGTATAAGGAGGAGAAACCCGTTGATAGCGGTTCTGCCTTCTGTTTGCAACCTTCTTTAATGCTATTACATGGCATTTTCAATGCCTTAGTTTAATTTTAAGGTATTTTCAAGGCCTTATTTTGTAGGTCATTATAAGGCATTACAAGGCATTATCAAGGCACTTACCTAACAGTGTGCCCTGGAGTAAGCTCGTACCGAGATAATATCTTATTCAACTGCCAAGTGGTTACTTGGGTATAGCCAACACACCCACCACCTCACCCTCAGTATGTAGAAGTCCCATTGAAGTGCCTGTGAAGTTTTATGTAGAGATAAATTAGCCTCAGTCCTCCTCACACACTTCACAGCTTGGACCTGATGCTGAGATAGTCAGGGCCCCCACACTAAGATGATACAGGTAGCTGCCAAAATAAAGGAAACACCAACATAAAGCGTCTTAATAGGGCGTTGGGCCACCACGAGCCGCAAGAGCAGCTTCAATGCGCCTTGGCATAGATTCTACAAGTGTCTGGAACTCTATTGGAGGGATGCGACACCATTCTTCCACGAGAAACTCCCATCAATTGGTGTTTTGGTGATGGTGGTGGAAAACCTTATCTCAGGTGCCGCTCCAGAATCTCCCAGAAGCGTTCAATTGGGTTGATATCTGGTGACAGATAGACACACACACACACACACCTCCTCTTTTGAGATCTCTCTTTCAAAGTCACTGAGATCTCTTCTACCCATGGTTGCCAAAATAATGGGCAATTGGGCATTTTTATAAATGGCCCTAAGCATGATGGGATGTTAATTGCTTAATTAACTCATAGCTTTATTTTGGCAGTTAGCTGTATATTCAGTACCATGGGAAAGTTCCCCCTTCACAACCATGGACCATGGAGGTCTTCATCTCCCATTGTAACTACAGTAGCCAATCTCATTACTCCAACCTTAGCAGAATGTCTCCTCTTAGTTTGGTTATCCTTGTGGTTAGTCTGTATTGACATGCAAATGTACATAAGGTAATACCTATTAAGCTACGCACCTGTATGTTGGAGAGAGAAATATATGTTATAAAATGGACATAAGTTTGAATTTCTTTCATTAAAGTTGTTAAATCTCAGTAATACATTTATTCTTGCAACACACTTTTTTTTTTTTTCACATCTTCATCAGTCCACTTTTTATACAGTCTCACATTCAAGTTTTCAAGATATCAGTGTCCTCTTGCCCAAAATCAAGCGAGCAAAAGGCCTGCTGTTAGGATTTCTTTGAGTCTTGTATGTGACATTTTACAGTTGACTGACGAGAATTTTGGTTTTGAATGGTTCGCTCATCCAGATGCATGGTTCACTACTATATGTTTATATATAGACACTACCTCAGTCTCTGGCACTAGGTTACATCAACATGTCAAAGTATGTAGTCCAGTCACACCATAGCAGCTCAAGTCATTAGAATATGTAGTTATTAATAGGTGTTAGTAAGATATCTATTACCTGCATCATTGCAAACAGAAGCTCTCCTTGTGACAGTGCCAGAGTTTTTGGACCAGGGCTGTGTTCATGAGGGGCACAACGTTTTAACACGTTCTGTAATGGAAAACGAAACTTAGTTCAGGTCTTACCTCCCCGTTTCAGTCAGTTTTCTTCTGTTTGATGTCTAATGAATACACCCCAGGTTCATGTTCATAAGGGCACATGTTTTGCAATGGAAAACGAAAACCAGCGTTTCTTATTGGACATATTCAGGGAGTACTTCCTCATTTCACCCCATTTTCTTTTGTTTTATGCATACTGAAAACAAGACTCTGCGCTCTGGTTGGAGGGGTGCATCTCAATAATCGAAACTGCCGTCCTTTCCTTGTCTCCTCTCCTCCTCCATCTGCACTGATAGAAAAGATCTGAACCAGTGAAATCATGTCCTGCACGCAATAGCATCCATCACATTGCTTCGAAAAAGATGTTGCTCATGTTTTGAAAGAGAGGAGAAAAAGAAAGGAGTGCAGGTAACACTATTGAGACACACCCCTAGCTTGTGAAACACCATGATATGATAATATATGACAGTGATTAACTTCAGGGTGTTGACAGTGATGAAGCACATTGGCAGTGACTTATCCAAAGCTTCACTTTCTTAGTGTCTACACTGGCGGCACAGTAGCCTAAGACTGTTGTCTTTTCTCTGTGTTTTAGTACTAGTGTAAACTGCCCAGCTTTTGGCCTGGGCCCTCGCCCGTGAGTTATTGTCCCCCAGTGATTTGTTGAAGCGTTTAATGAAAGCAATGATGTGTTCCCAAACACTTAATTGGCAGTGGCACCCCAACCACTACACAGTGCCCTCCCTCCCTTTACTCCTCTGTGGGACTGACCTAGAGAGGAGAGGTTGAGGAACAGAGTAGGAGAAGGAGGAGAGGTAGTCCTCTGTTTGCTCTTCTGTCAAGACAGAAATCTGGAGAGTCACACAGTGGGTTCAGTGGGCATCTTCACTTTGCAATTAACATCCCTTGAAGAATAATTGGTGTGTGTGTGCATGTACGTGCGTGGTTGGCAAGCACAGTGATGTTGTGTAACAGGTTAAAGCCCCTTGGTTGAGCAGGGATGTGAGTGTGTGTGTGTGTGTGTGTGTGTTTGTGGAGCTAAGTCTGGCCAGCCCACAGTGTGGTGGGACTATTTGTTCGTAGAGAGAGGTTGAAGGTGGAACTCATGTCCGAATGGACAGAGAAACAGAGAAATGCCTCAGCACGGTGTTTGTAGGTAAAGCGCTTGTATACTGCTCTTGTTTGAGAATACAATTTCTAACAAAGATATCTACATATATTGTGTATCACTGGAAATAATCAAAATTAATCCGAATTTAAGTTTTGAAAACATAGCTTATCCAAACAAAGTGGTCTCTTGGTATTGGGTAAATTGAGCCGCCTTGGGGCAAGATTTTCCACGTCTACAAATGTATATTCTGGATGAAATATTACCAGCACCTTTGAAAAATGCACTATCTTGATTTCATATGCATGACAAATTGCAAAAATACTATGCATATTAATGACAAAATGTAATCAGAATTTGTATGGGGTATGTTAAGCCAAATGGAACCATTTTGACCATATTAGCCCACACAGCTACAAGGATGCACTTTCATGCTAGGTTTAGGACCTCATATTGAAGCTTATAGAGACCCTAACTGATGCATGAAAGTCTAAAAACAATCTATTTTGGTTTAGATACAAGCATCATGAAATCTATAACACAATAAATATATTTGTAAATGTATTCAATTATGGTTTATTCCTTCACAGCCGCCATGAAATTATGACCACTTCCTAAATATTTGGTCACATTATTAATTTTGTGTATGGTTTCCTAGAAACAAAGGGTGGATTAACTAACCCTTTGGCACGACTTACCCCACTCACCCCTATATGTCAAGGGCTTTAAAGTTTCAGACAGGAAATGTATGCATGTAATATATCTAAATGTTCCATTCCTGTTTCAAAACCATTATACTCTACTGACACGCTAAAATAGATAGGCTTTACAGCAAATTGGTAAATAGGCTTTACAGCAAATCACATTGCACCCCCTTAAATGTAAAAAAAAATATATAGGCTCAACCATTGAAGCATATTTATTTTAGCATCACTTTTATTAATTATTTGGAACATATTCCATTTATATACACTACTGGTCAAAGGTTTTAGAACACCTACTCATTCAAGGGTGTTTCTTAATTTATACTATTTTCTACATCGTAGAATAATAGTGAAGACATAAACTATGAAATAACACATATGGAATCATGTAGTAACCAAAAAAGTGTTAAACAAATCAAAATGATTGATGACAGCTTTGCACACTCTTGGCATTCTCTCAACCAGCTTCACCTGGAATGCTTTTCCAACAGTCTTGAAGGAGCTCCCACATATGCTGAGCACTTGTTGGCTGCTTTTCCTTCACTCTGCGGTCCGACTCATCCCAAACCATCTCAATTTGGTTGAGGTCGGGGGATTGTGGAGGCCAGGTCATCTGATGCAGCACTCCATCACTCTCCTTCTTGGTCAAATAGCCCTTACACAGCCTGGAGGTGTGTTGGGTCATTGTCCTGTTGAAAAACAAATGATAGTCCCACTAAGCCCAAACCAGATGGGATGGCGTATCGCAGCAGAATGCTGTGGTAGCCATGCTGGTTAAGTGTGGTTGGAACCAAAAATCTCCAATTTGGACTACAGACCAAAGGACACATTTCCATCAGTCTAATGTCAATTGCTTGTGTTTCTTGGCCCAAGCAAGTCTCTTCTTCTTATTGGTGTCTTTTAGTAGTGGTTTCTTTGCAGCAATTCGACCATGAAGGCCTGATTCACACAATCTCCTCTGAACAGTTGATGTTGAGATGTGTCTGTTACTTGAACTCTGTGAAGCATTTATTTGGGCTGCAATTTCTGAGGCTGGCAACTCTAATGAACTTATCCTCTGCAGCAGAGGTAACTCTGGGTCTTCCATTCCTGTGGTGGCCCTCATGAGAGCCATTTTCGTCAGAGCGCTTGATGGTTTTTGCGACTGCACTTGAAGAAACTTTCAAAGTTCTTGAAATGTTCCGTATTGACTGACATTAATGTCTTAAAGTAATGATGGACTGTAATTTCTCTTTGCTTATTTGAGCTGTTCTTGCCATAATATGGACTTGGTCTTTTACCAAATAGGGCTATCTTCTGTATACCACCCCTACCTTGTCACAACACAACTGATTGGCTCAAACGCATTAAGGAGGAAATAAATTCCACAAATTAACTTTTAACAAGGCACACCTGTTAATTGAAATGCATTCCAGGTGACTACCTCATGAAGCTGGTTGAGAGAATGCCAAGAGTGTGCAAAGCTGTCATCAAGGCAAAGAGTGGCTATTTGAAGAATCTCAAATATAAAATATATTTTGATTTGTTTAACACTTTTCTGG